TGATGAGTTGTGCGAGTCCCCAATAAAATGATTTAAAAAAAGAGTTACAGTACCAAGGGCTCAAATAGAAAGTAAATGTTTAGAAAATGATGATGGCAACATATGTACAAGTATGCTTGCTACAGTTAATGTATGCAATGTTATGAGAGCAATAAAATGATTTTAAAGAAACCTCAAACAAACCATCTGCTGAGGAATAGTTTCACTTACAGTGTTTTTCAACCTATTGTATGTATTTTATTCACTGGGGTTGGAGGAGGCAGGCTTATGAATATACAGATTCTGAGTCCCATACAGACATTCTGATTCTGTAAATGTAATTTTTTCCCAGCAAATATAACCACATCGTGGGATGCACTTTCTCAGAACAAGGCTGCTGTAAGTAGTTATAACTTCTATTTACTTCTGGCTTAAAATTATTTCTTGTTATGATTGAATAAATTATTATTGGTATAGTGCTTTTTTAATAGAAAAAATAAATTTAAATATTGAAGTAAGAAGTTATGTACTACATATTACAAAATGAACACAAAATGCCAACTACTAAATGCTAATCAATAGTACTTCAGATATTAGGCACATGAACACCATGGGAAATTAAATATTTAATCAATTTGTGTGATTTATTCTCCTTTAATATGATTATCCATTTGGCATATTCAAACGAGGATTCTAAAGAGAATGAGTTGGGGAGGTGGGACTAAGCCTCGGTGGTGTGGAAGGCTTCGCGTGAAGGAGAAGAGGAAAGGAAGGATCAGCTTTTCCTTGCAGGGACTGCGATGGACCCTTCTTTTTGTGGCGTGAAGACCAAAGCCCATTTGTCGTTCGTCCAGTCGATCCCAACCCATGGCAACCCTAGACAACAGAGTACAGCTGTCCAACAGGGTTTCCACACTGCCCTCTGTTTGAAAACAGACGGCATTGTCTTTCCCCTGATGGGTTTGAACCTTTCAGTTAATAACTGAACAGTCACCAGGGCTCCTTTTGTAGTCTCCCCCGCCCCCCCCTCAGTACTCCAGAAGAGAAGGCATGCTGACCAGCCGCTGTGCATATGTGTCTCCGCTGTCTTGGTCGGGAGTCCACATTTAGTGAGTGGTGTATAGTGCTTTCTGGGCAAGTGACTCTTTTGTCCTTTTTGTTGTCTTGTACGCCACCTGAATCAAAAGCTCAATTTCTTTATGCAAATATTTCAATGCTATTTTCTGCTCTCTAATTGTTAAAACTATTTTGAAAATGAATCTGGAACAGATTCTATTCCCCAGAAATGATCATAATATAGGGTACAGTTTGACCTTATGAATACAACAATTACATAAAACAGGGATAGTTTTTAATTCCCCAATTTAATTTAGATCTAAACTATGTAGAGCTAAACTGTTAATACTTGTTTTTCAAAACTATTGGCTCTTTTTTAGAGATGATGACTCTTTAAAGAGATGGCTCACTGGAGATCCCCTTGCAGAGGGGTCTCGGGGAGGAGACGAGCCAGTCAGGGTGCGATGTAACAATGATGAAAAATACAACTTTCCACTAGTTCCTAATTGTTTCCTGCCCGCTCCCACTACCATGACTCGAATTCAACCTTGCAAGTCTGGCTAGACCAGAGGATGTACACTGGTACAGATAGGAACTGAAAATACAGGGAATACAGGGCGGGTGAGCCCTACAGGACCAGTGGTGTGAGTGGCGAAACAGGGAGGGTAGAGGGAGAATGGGTAGGAAAGAGGGAACCGATTACAAGGAACTTTATGTGACCTCCTCCCTGGGGGACGGACAACAGAAAAGTGGGTGAAGGGAGATGTCGGACAGGATAAGATATGACAAAATAATGATTTATAAACTATCAAGGGCTCATGAGGGAGGGGGAGTGGGGAGGGAGGAGAAAAATGAGGACCTAATGCCGGGGGTTTAAGTGGAGAGAAAATGTTTTGAGAATGATGAGGGCAGTGAATGTACAAATGCGCTTTACACAATTGGTGTGTGTATGGATTTTGATAAGAGTTGTATGAGCCCCTAATAAAATGATAAAAAAAAAAGATGGCTCTGTTTTAAAGGATGATAGGGACTGATATAAAGTGCGTATATGATAAGGGAATGGAGGTGGGAACCTGATATAGAGCTCTCGGTATATCAAGGATTATTCCAATTTTGTATGGATGTATATTATAAGAATCTGAAATAAGATGTATCAGAGTTTTATACAAAGTATTTGTATGTGGTAGAATTTAAATGTTTTTAAAAATGCTTTTTTAATGATTTTTTTGGGTTATGTTTTTCAAATTTTCTCCTGTCAGCAGATAATCTATTATTTATAGGACCTTAAAAAATATATGAATACTAATAGGTATACCAAAAGATGGTCCATATTGCAAAGTATATTTGAAACCTGAATTCTTGTTCTTATTGTGAAACATAGTTCATAGTTATGTGACTGGAAAAGGTTGTGACTATTTGAATAATTCTAAATCTTAATCTTGTTGAATTATTCTTTCCTTATTTCCATGTAAAATGCACAAGATATAATAGCATAATAGCATGCAGCATGTACTTAATTTTTTTTAAAAAATCATCGATTTTTAAAAAGTAGACCAATATGATAAATACAAATGAGGATACATTTTTCAGAATCCATTTGATTTTCTTGTCTAGATTTGGGCAACTTTGTGTCAAATATTATAAATGATGTAATAAATGATGAGGAAAATGAAAGAAAGGATTTTTTCCCCGACTTTGGAGTGCCATATAGCTTAAGATAGCTATGTAAACCAGAAGTAGCTGTTATGATTTACAGAATTAACCTCTGTGTTTTAACTGTAGCTGAGACACATTGAAAACAAATTAGAAGTAGCCCCTACGAGTACGGCTGTGTGTGATTCTGTCATGGACACCAGGAAATCGGCACATGCTACCCGAAAAACAAGTAGGAAAGGTATGTGTAAGGTTTTTACTTCCAAAGCTATAAATGTATTAAACACAAATTTCTGATGTTTTACTTGTGTTTAGTTTCTTCTTAGGCAGTGATACCTTGGTTATTGAGCTCTATTTGTCCCAAATTTGTGTTTGAACACTAAAAAGTTCAAGAACTGAATATATTTTTCCTATAAGAAATAATGGAAAACCAGATCATTGGTTCTGAAGCTCCAAATTTGCACTTATAAGTTAATTTTTCCTGGACTTTAGCACAAAATTAACAATCCTAGGTTGTGGAAATACCCCCCAAAACATCCAAATACAATAGACACGTACATAGTACATTAAGTATCAAAACAGGACAGTAAATAAAAATAATTTATTTGTTATTAAGTTTCATTGTTTAAAAATCTGTGAATTTTCTGAATGGTATGCTACCATGGACTTCACTTTAAAGTGCTCATTAGCATTCATTCCTACACAGCAGCAGAGAGAGCCTACCTCTCATAGGCTGCTGGCCTGGCAGTGCTAGTTCCTTGTTAGTAATGAAGGGACCTATACGGCATCCCCCCCCAATCCAGTTTTGTTGCAGTTGAACACTTATTGAGGAATAAAACCCTTAGCATCCAGATAGTCAGCAAATTTAGCCACAAATGTATCGCCTTTGTTTACTTGCACTCGCCCCTTCCCCATGCACATTCTCTTTTTGAATTTTTCAAACCAGCCATAGCTGGCTTTGAACACTTCATGCTGCCCAGCACTCCCTCCTACATTTTCCACTAAATCACCATGGAGGCTTTTAACGGTCCTGGGCAGGGGTCCTCAAACTATGGCCCGTGGGCCACATGCGGCCCACCGAGGACATTTATCTGGCCTGCTGGGTGTTTTTGCCCCATTTGTTTTTTTTTACTTCAAAATAAGATATGTGCAGTGTGCATAGGAATTTGTTCGTAGTTTTTTTTTAAACTATAGTCCGACCCTCAAACTGTCTGAGGGACAGTGAACTGGCCCCCTGTTTACAAAGTTTGAGGACCCCTGGGTATCACTGTTTTAGGTAAGTTATTGCTATTGAATTGTTTCTGATTTATTCCAAATTATTTGTAACTTTCCAACATCTTCTGGATGGTCTGGCTTGTTTTGTGGTTAACAGTTTCACAACTTTTGCAACATTTGCCACTTTAATCACCGCCCCCCTCAATGTTGATAATGTTGACTTAGCCATATTGTTGTATGTATTCAGCCCCTACGTCCGACAATCAGTGACTTGATTCAGATTTCACAGTGATTTTGTAAACTCTATTGTGGCTCTCACAGCTGTCTTAGCTGTACTGCTGGTGTCACTAACTGTCTTTGGAGCCATGGTTATAATACTTTATGCTAATAAATCACAATGAAAGCACAGTGACCATTGTTTTCACACACTAATACGACAGCCCTCTATGTTGTCTGAATGAGCACGATGCTTGGGCTTTGTGACCCCAGTGCGACGCAATGTGTGACCCACTGCCTGCGCAAGTTTTATCATGTTGGATTTTCAGTTGACTGTTGAGCAAAGTTATGAACACTGAGCAGATTTTTTCCAACTTTGCTGTTGGAGTAGTGGACAGGCTTGGAGCTATTAGACAACTGAGGTATCACTGGATTTATATGGATTCACTTGCATGTTTTTGGTGAGAAATTATGTCATCAGCTTTGATTTTTTTAAAAAATTTGGTACTGAATCGTTTTAAAGCAGCCTCATAATCAGTGTCTGTAGATGGTGTCTTTATGGTTTTCATCAGCGCTCTTAGCACCTTTGAAAGTGAATTTTCATTGGTCTTTAGTCATGAAAATCTGATTGTAAGCCTTTAAGTTGTCTTTTATTTTCATAGATAGACATGGCTGCTTCAAAAAGATTGTGAAAAATGGATTTATAGATAATGGAATCTTCCCACAAACTCTTTGAAGTCTTCAAACATTATATTACTTTTAATAGTGAAATTCTATTTGACTTAATAAGATTTTTTTTGAGAATTGAACTTTAAAAATTATATATGGCATATCATTCTTGTAGATAAATTACCGTAATGCAGATATTTTTCTTTGGTTACTTGTGATGTTTTTTTCCTGTGGTTTAATTGATGGAATACTCTACCTGAATTGTGAGTTTCTATTTCCTGCGAATTTGTTGGGTTTTATCTGATATTTTTAGTTAGTAAAGAGTCAGGGATAAAAAAGAATTTTATATGTAAAATTTTATTTTGCATTCAGTTTATCGAGATTTATAATCTTTATTGATTGAATTATATGAATATTTTTTTAAATGTTGGTAATTATACATATAACAGAGTCAATAATATTTATAATCTTTACATGCGTAGTTCAGTGATATGATTTATGTTTATTACATGGTTCAAATTATTGTAATTAACCTGCATATTGTTCTACCTACTTATATAATATAATGGTGCTTAAAAAAAATCAACGGAAAATTCCATTATCTTTTCATTCCATTTCCTACAAACTTTTTAAGGCTCCTTTAAATCCAAATAGAGATGCCAGAGTTCTTCTCTCAGGAGGATCCCTGGTGGCACAGTGGTGAGATGCTCAGCTGCTACCTGCGCTCATCGAAAGCTTGGCAGTTTGAACCCACCAGCTGCTCCACTGGAGAAAGGTCCTGGCGATCCACTCCTTAGAAATTACAGCCTAGGAGACTCTGTCAACCAGATCTGCGCTGTTGGATCATTGAGTCAGAACCAACTCGCACATGACAAGTTATTTTCTTAGCTGTTAGACAAACTCCGAGACAGTTGTATTTTATGTGATAGTTCTGACAGTCTTTTCCTTCAGATGGTAGATACATGGATGATTCTTGGGTTAATGCTTCAACCTCCAAATCTTCGAAATTGCGAAAAGAGAAATCTCGTAGTCCTCTGAGAGCTACCACCCTGGAGAGTAATGTGAAGAAACACAATCGTGTGGAATTTCGCGATCCCTTAGTTTCTTATAGGTAAGTGTTACGATATTTCTATCAAATAAGATTTTCTTGTTATATGTATGGTAGTATTATAATGTTTCTGAGTTACTTTAGCATTCTGGCTCTGGTATTTATTATGTTGTTCTCTTATTTTTAATTCTCCACAAAAGATAGAAGCAAAAATCTTTCATATTTTGAAATACTGTTTTAAACTATTCTTACAGATTAAGTGCATAGGGGAAGCAATAGTAACATTTGTTTTAGGCTATGATTATTGTTGTGTTTCTTAGTGAACAATTACTCATTACTACACATTTGTCCCCCAATGTCTCACATTGAATGTGCTACACAATGAATTTTGTATAGCTTAGTTTTTTTTCTTTCCTGTTTTGGTAGCAGTACCTAAATGGTCTGTCCAATTGAAATTATGATTTACTTTACTGTTTTACTTTGTTTCCAATAACTCCTTTCATCAATTTACGAGTCTGATGGTGAACATTTATGTCTGATCTTTGGTTTGATAGTATAGATATTAAGTGCTGTACATAATTTGTTAACTGATAGGATATAAAACTTTACCAAAGATTTAAATGTGTAAATACTTTTAATATGACAAATAGTAATAAGTACTAAACAGTGGATCTTATATATTTCACATCTAAGCATTAGTGTTTTAAAATGTTATCAAGGAGTTTTGTGATGGTTCTTAGTAGTATTAGGAAAATGTAGAAGTGTATTATATGAGTTCAGTATTCAATGTGTTACATTTGATAGAATTTTTGAAAATCTAGGCATTTAACAATTTGGGTTGGATCGTGTATAGGAAGGGCAAGGTAGGGACTGTAAATTTGGGAGTTGTCACTAGTACTGAAGCAATACAAATAAATAAGTAGAAGAAAAATCCAGTTAATGTATCTGGGTAAAAATTTATTTTTATAAGAAATAAATCATCAGAATGTTCAGAGTTCAGAATCTGTAACCACACAGATAGTGAGCAATTGCCTGGAAACATGATCATTACAGAATTGACCCAAGTTATGGACTCCTTGTATACATTCTGATGGTTTACCTTTGTAAAATACTGCTTTATACTTGAAACAATATGTTAGTGTTATTTAGATAAAGAAGAAAATAACTCTAGGACAGCAATAGGTATACTATATCTCCCTGCAGTGGACCCTGTCACTTATACCCCCACATATTTGTGTCCCCACCGGTATGAAGCTTGGCCAGATCTTTTCTTATCGTACACCACTTCTAGCCTAGTTCTTTCCTCTGTGCTCCCTGAACATTAGTTCTTTAATAAAGTGTTTCATGTTGCACTGTGTGATATTTTGATTATATGTATCTATCCACTTAACTAGTTTATTTAAGGACATGAATCTCTCTTATTCTTAGACCATTTAAAAAATTTCTGGTATTAAGTATTCAATAAGTATTTTTGGGGGAGGGGAAAGGGGGAGGAAGGGGGAGCCCATCACAAAGTTGGATATATAACTCCGCCCCCCCCCCCCCCCAGGGGATGAATAACAGAAACATGGATGAAGGGAGATAACAGACAGAATAAGATACGAAATAATAATAACAATATACAATTGATCAAGGATTCATAAGGGTGGGGGTGGGAGGGGAAAAAAGAGGAACTTATACCAAGGGCTCAAGTAGAAAATGTTTTGGAAATGATGATGGCAACACGTCTACAGATATGCTGATACAATTGATGTGTGGAATGTTATAAGAGCTGTAAGAGCCCCCAATATAATGATTAAAAAAAAAAAGTATTTTTCCCAACATTTTATTAGGAAAATCTCAAATTACAGAAGAGTTGAAAATGTTATATAATAAAGATGATTATTCACATTCAGGATGAGTGAATGAAAAACTATGAAAATAATTTTCCCCCTTTTTTGGTTGGTTCTTCTCTTTTTTAGATTAAGATATGATATGTGACCTATTTTATGTTTTACTTTCTGTATCCTCTTCATGAATTAATTTTAGACTTAAATAATTTAAATTGTGAATTGTAGTAGTCTGGTGTTACAGTGAAAATAACTTCCTTATTCTGGTTCTTTAATGGCTTTTACACCCAGTGGTTCTAAAATAAGGCTTATTGAAGTATAAAATATAAATAAGTAGGCCCTGAACGTAGGCTTTACTAGCATTTTCCTGAATAGAGAATATGCACTTGATACATGCTTTGACTGTGTCTAGACTTCTTTGCTTACTCCTGAGTTTCTGGATAGGTTTTACATAGTTTGAAGCTGCCCCAAATTGCCCTGTGGTTACGAGTGGTTAACTTTAGTAACCACATCGATCTGGAGTAATATGTTTATTGTATCTCGATTTTATTACTACTGTATATCCAAGCTGTTTATTACTTTGATGCATTATTTAGCAGATACACATATAAGATACTAGTAGTTGACATTTTCCCTATTAAGATTTCATACAGGAGTAAAATACACATTTTGGTAATAGATAACAAGTTCATATATAAAGTCAGATTATAATTCTATTTTATGGCGTTCCTAAGAAAACTTCTCCATATCTTTTGCATATTTCTTATTTTATAATATGCATATTATTAGAGTATACCCTTCCTCACTAATCAACTGTCGTGTTGTCTGACCTTTTGTATTTACAATAGTAAAAAATCTACTACCCAACTCTTATGCATTAATGATGTATATCTAGCAATAACATTTTTTGAAATGCAAGACTAGAGTAACTGCTCTATGAGAGTTCTGATTATGTGTCACCTTGCCTGGGATGTGATTCTCAGTGGTTTGGCAGTTATTTAATGTTGTAATTTGCCATTTTTGTAATGATGTAGTCACATTCATATTGTGATCTGGCGTGATCATCCTCAATTTTTGCGTAATGCTGAAATTTTGCATAACAATTTGGTGTTTGGAAACTAACCATGTCAATAAGTGAGGAGTGGTTCTGTTTCCTTATAAGGTGAGATGGAACTTTGAACATTGAGTCTTCATCTTTGTAATGATCATTTTAAATTGATGAAATTTCTAGGGATATAACATCAGTGGTTACTTTGGTAATTCAGAGTTTGTCACTTTGTGTGAATGTTTTCCATTTGATTGTTTTTTGTACTCTGTCTTACTCAAAGCATGTATATTTTTTTATAATAGGGAAATCCATGGTGCTCCTTCTAACGTAAGTTCCAGCCATCTGGAGTCAAAGCTTGTATATTGTGTGGATGTTAATGAAGAAAAAATTGAGAGTGGGAACCGAGTGATTTGCAATCAAGAAGAACAGAATATACGTTGCTGTGATTTTGAGAGCTCCCAGTCATCTATCATAAATGATACAGTTGTTAGGTTTTTAAATGATAGGCCAGCAATTGATGCATTGCAAAATTCTGAATATTTGATTAAGATCGGCGCTCCTTTGAGAACTGAGGAAGAAAAGCCTATTAGAGCAAAAGGAAATGAGAACAATTTGAAGACTTCTGTCAATAACAGAAGCCATGAAGTTGATCCAAAAGTACTACGGCTAGCTGACTCTTCTCCATCCTCAACTAGTACTTCCAACTCCCAAAGATTAGATCTTTTGAAGCGGCGACAACATGATGTCAAACTGGAAAAACTCAAGGAGCGGATTAGGAAACAGTGGGAACACTCAGAAGAAACAAATGGCCAGGGCCAGAATCTGGGTCATAGTGACCATCCAGTAATGGTGGTCACTGTTGACAACTCCGTGACCACAAAAGTCAGGAAAGTGGCAGCAGCACCACCGGCTCCAGCGTACAAAGGTTTGTAATCAGTCTTTGCTTCTTTCTCCATCCTGCTCCCCTTTCACCCTGAGCTGTGTTTGAATCATCTCAAATCTATGACAAAAGAAAGTGCTTCAAAGGTACATGTTAAAAATGAAGACTCATGAATTGTACATTGGACCTAAACCACAATTGGAATTTTAAACAAGTTTCCCAGGGGATTCTTAAGGTTTGAGAACCACTATAATCTAGAGACTAGATGAGTAAAATGAGATAGTAATAAGCTGAATAAAAGGAGAAAATAACTATTTCTATTTGCAAAGAACTGAAAACTTACTGCCCTTGTAACTTGTCATTGAAATTTGGATTATTAGGAAATCGTTCAAGTATTCAAGTGCCATTTTTTAAAATTCAGTCAATTGCTAAGGAATACTTGGGTAAAAACTATGAGGATAGGCCAGAGTATATTGCCACAAAATCATAGAAATGTTCATAACTGTCAAAATGTGAGGCTCTAGTTTACTGGACATATCTTCCATCCAGGTCCATATACTTCTCAAGGGGGTGTGTCCATCTCTCTAATCTTCCCTGAGGAATTCTGTGCTCTTCGATTTACACTATGTCAAAATGGCAGCTTGGGATTAAACTCGTATTCCTTTGAAATGTTTTTGAGTTTGGGGAACAAAACTAAGCCTGAAGAGGTAAGATCAGTGCTGTAGGGTTGATGGGGAATGGTTTCCCAACAAAATTCTCGTAGGACAGCCTCAAGACTGAGCTAGTACATTCCTGTGATGGGAAAAAAAAATCCTGGTGTAACTTTCCAGGTCTTTTTCTCACCTGTGCAGTTTTGCATTTTCCAGCTTTTTATTTTCAGTTGGGTTATAATCAATTTTACATTGATCAATTTGCACATATTATGTATCATGTTCATTATAGTCTCCTCAGTATACCTTCACTCACTCACTTTTCTCCTGGGTTTTCTGTTTCTGTTTCTTCTTATTTAACCCTTCTGAACTTTGTCTCTAGGGAAATGCTGTCTTTTCTGTCTTAAATACTTTATTATTCTAAGGTGTGCTTACCTTACAATGTTGTTACCTTTACCGATCTGTCAATTGCTTGGCTAAAAATTGAGCCTTAAGGGTGAGTCCCGTCTGAGACGTGAAGGGTGACTAAAGGCCATAGTCTTGGAGTTCTGCTTGTCTCTATCTGGCCAGTAAACTTGGTCTCTTTCATTATTTTTCATTCTATATTTCCTCCCACTCTATTTGAGATCTTCTAATGTGATCACTTTTAGAGCATCTAGTTCTCCTGGTCTCAGATTTGTGGATACTGACATTTACGTGGTACAGTACTTGAGTCCGTTGTTGAACTAAATGCTTCCATGTATCTTCACTGTTATTCACTCTTCTGTCCTGTTGACAGGAAGAGATCAATAGTTGTATATGAGATGACGGCTCAGGACCTTTTAAGACCGAGTCATTACTCTCCAAAGTAGGATGTAAAACATTTTTTTATGAACTATGTAGTGCCAATTAACACTGGTGTCCACCGAGTCTGGTCCAGAGCCCCCAGGCTCAATAACTCACTCCCTCAAGATGTTCGATTATATCTAAGTTTTCATAACTTTCTCCCCTCTCTGATCTAATATATTCATGGATATATTTGCAGCACAGGTAAATCACATATAAATAATCTCTGTTAAGCATATATATATTTGTGGTATACTCCCTCCCCCCGGTTCAGCAAGCCTGTCTAGTCCTGTGTCTTCTCTTTGATCACTGTTATTGCAGGATTGTGACTATAACTAGAGTTACCTCTTAACTCTAATACCAATACTTTTTTACTTACCCTTGTACTTCAACCCTGACATATTGATGCTGTGACTATTTTGGCCATTTAGTTTTGGAACCAAGGATTTTTTTCCTCTCTCCCTCCTGTTTAAGAAAACAAATATTTAAGTCAGATTACTATATTGTCAAATATTCCTTGAGAAAGTATTTTCCAGACATATGTACATGAACACACACACGTTTTTTAAAAAAGAAAATATGGTGGTTTTGAAGAGTATGTAGTTTTTAAAATGTTATGTTCCTGAACTTGTTTTCATAGTCAACTTTCTGTTCAGTTTTTATGTTATTTTGATATTTCTAAGATGTCTTTAATCATTTATTTCTCTAAAGCAAATATTAGTACCTATCTACTATTTTAGCAATTACATTTCTTTTTGTATTGTGCCATGCTGAAGGAGCCCTGGTGTAGATACAAGTACAAAGGAAGACTCCCATTAGAGAAAAGTGTTCTGTAAAGGGTCAGACTCCAAACTCATTCTGACTCATAGTGACCCTGCAGGAGAGTGTACAACTATGTCTGTGGCTTTCTGAGACTGTAACTCTACTGGGGTTAAAAGCCTCATCTTTCCTCCCATAGAGCTGCTGGTGCCTTCGAACTGCTGACCTTGTGGTTAGCAGTCCAATGTATAACCACTATGCCATCAGGGTTCCTCTTGTAAAGAGCAGAAGGGCAAAATAAGCTTAGGATCAAATGTAGAGAAATGGGATGAGAGGTTGCGAAGAGGAAAGCTAAAAGACATATATATATGTAGAATTGTCACCTTTTCTTATGGTAAACGATTTTGCAATAAACTGAAGACTGTACTTATTTTTCCTTAAATAGCTATAGACATAGTTATGAGCCTTTTGCCATAAATATCAAAAGGAGCCCTAATGGCATACTAGGCTTTGTGTGGGGCTGTTAACCAGTGCTTCAAACTCACCAGTCCCCCCTTACCTTCTTGAGAGCAACCATGAGGCACACTTGGTATTGACTCCCTGGCAATATGTTTGATTTTTGATTATTGTGCCTAAGAATAGAATACATTGTTTTCTTTTTTGGCCATGATAGTTAAGTTACCAGTATGTTTAATCTAATATCTCTAGAATGCTTTTACCAATTTTTGACCTCTGCTTATTTTTTTTAAAAAACATAAGTTTTATTGACATATAATTCACATGTTATACAATTCATTGGTTTAACATATTCAGAAGTTTAACTTTTGAATGTGTGCAATCATCACCTCAAATTTAGATCATTTCCTTCTTTCTTGTACTCATTATTAGCTCTCCATATTCCTCTGACTTCCCATGCCATAACCCTAAGAAACTTTAATCTAGTTATTGTCTCTATAGCTTTACCTATCCTGGATTTCATATAAAGAAAAAGATACCAAAGATGCCTCCCCCAACCTAAAAACAATAACAAAACAAAACAGAAAATCCTCAATAGAAAAGAAGGCAGAAAATATAAAAAGCTAGAACAAATTAAAAATGAGTCAAAAGGGCGAACATATGATAAGGTAGGTGTTAAATTTCAACGTAAGTACATCTGCATTCTTCCACTTTCCAATGTACCCTGGTAGCAAGGCTCTTCACATCCCTTGTCCAATCCGTGGTCAATGGAATTTACTAGAGGTTTAATTTACATGAGGACCCTGCAAATGGATTTTGGGCTTCACTGTCATTTATACCCTTCTGCAAACTGGGTGCTCAGAATTTAAGCTCTGATACCGTTTCTTCCTCTGATCTTGGATCTTATTATTTACATTCGTTAGATCACACTTGGACCCCAACCTTCTCTTTACATTGATTTGATTCTACAAATATTTCTTGGTTACTAATTCTTTGCAAAATACTCTGGGCAATACTTAGGAATAAAGTAAAGGTTCCTGCTCTGAAGTAACTTTAGATAAAGGAAGAATGGTGGTGCATATCAAGTGATAAGTGCTTTGGTAGAGGCAAGTTAATAGTGATATGAGAGGAGTGATTTATGAGAAAGAAGTGATAGTTCTAATTAATAGTGGAATCAGTAGAATATGAAACCCCAAATTCAGAATTTATTCAATTTTGTTGTTACAAGGCAATTTACAATTTAAAACATAAATAGTTGTCTTGAAGCTCCCCATACCCCCCTAAGTATATATATGGTGTTCTTTGATATGCTGAGCCCATGTAAAAATATACATTGTATATGATAAGCTTATGCATTGATTTTTTTACTATGTTTCAGAATAGCATATCAAGTTCAGTGTTATTTCTTAAAGAGTAAGTTGGGAATTCTAAATCTGAAGTGTAATTCCTAGGAAATGGTATATGTGTGATGTTTCTTGATAAATTGAGTAAATATGTTTTAAAGACCTATCTTGCCCAGTGAAGTACATTTTGCATGTGTAGACAACAGTTGTCCATTTGTTCAGCAAGAAAATACAGACAGATGGTGGCAATTGACACCTGTCTTCAAAGGAAAGAAGAATGAGGAGTGGAGTCACTCTCTGAATGTCGAGAAGGGTAGTTTGTCTTTCTAAAATACATAATTTATGATTGACATTCCTTTCTAGTGCTTCCTCATTTCTAGTCTTTTAGCATGAATGTGTATTGCTTTACCTTGCAGAAGCTTACTTTTTCAAAACAATATTTGTGAGCAATTATGTGGTAGCTACTGATGCATTCCTTTTTAAAAATTGTATATAACTGTCCCAAGTCATTACCTATAATAAAAAAAGATAGACAATAACAAATGTTGGCTAGGATGTTGAGAAGTTTGAGCCCTCTTGCATTGCTAGTGAGAATGAAAAATGTTACAGCTACTTCAGAAAACATTTGGGCAGTTTCTCAAAAAGTTAAGCATAGAGTTAGGATATGCTAGAGCAATTCTATTTGTGGATCATACTCAGGGAATTGAAAACATATGTCCCACAAAAACGTGAACACTAGTGTTCATGATAGTGTTATTTAACATAGCCAAACAAGTGTTAACAATCCAAATGCCTATCAAAGTGATCAACAAAATGTGATATACCAGGGATTAATATTCAGTCATAAAAAGGAATGAGATACTGATATGTGCTATCACATGGGTTCGTACCTTTAATTGGAAGAAGCTAGACACCAAGGCCACATAATGTATGATTTCATTTATATTTTGGGGGTCCACCCCCCAAAAAATGGAATCCCTACCCTCACCCAAAAGCCATGTATTAAAATTTTTTTTACAAAACCACCTTTCCACCTTCAAAGTACTTTCCATTACACTTAGTCCATTTGTCAAATCTGCGATTCTATTCTTGGAAACATTTTTCAGTCTCATCTGTATTGATGTTTGACACCACCTCCCTCGTTTTTTTTCTTCACCTCTTCTACATTGTCAGTGTCAAATTGATGTTCTTTCATTGCTGAAACAAAAGAAGTTGTTCTGAAGGAGGTCAGGTGAGTAAGATGCATAGGGCAAGAGAGGCATGCTGTTTTCTTGCCAAAAACTGGCGCACTGAGATGGCTGCATGAGCAGGTGCATTGTCACGGTGGCAAAACCAGTCCCCGTCTGCCACAGATCAGGCCCTTTTGCACACACTGTTACACAGTTTCTTCAGAACCTCTAAATCGAAAGCTTGATTAACAGTCTGACCTGGTGGATTGAACTCCAAATGCACTACTAGTCAACATGTTTGTCTGTTTGAGAAGTTGATGGAGGTCCAGAATGAGGTTTGTCATCAATCGACATTTCACCCTTTTTTGAAAGGACAAAACCACTTGTACACTTGAGTTTTTCCTATAGTGCTGTCCTTGTAACCCGTGTTCAACTTCACAACAGTTTCTACAGCATTTTTCCTGATCAGGAAACAAAATTTCACAGCCACACACTGTTCTCTTAAATTGGCAATAACAAAAAATGAGGTTCAAGTGAAACTACTTTTATGAAAAAATTCACTGTGACCAGAGAGAACTTTTCCTGGTGATGCCACTGGGTGCACTAACTCAAAGTGAGTTGCTAGATGCTCACTTACCGGGGAAAATACATACTATGAAAGCTCCGCTCTGCCCTGCATAATTCTGATTTTTGCGGGGGTACCCCCATGTAAAATGCCCAGAATACTTTAGACTGCCCTTTCAGGCACACATTTATCATAGGTCACATCATTGGGATTTGATGTGGAAGCCCTGCTTAATGAATTGGGCTTTATCTCAGATTCATGTGTAGTAGATTTAAGGAACCAGCAAACTCCCTTGGACTTAAAGGTGAAACCCCTCCTGTGAGAAGAAGATAACTACTATGCCAAGATTATGGAATTGATGGTTGTTGGACTTTGGTTTAGATCTCTTGCTTTGAGATGTTCATTGAGTTGTGGCCTAGGACTACCATATATTTACTATTTTCATGTTCTCCTTGGTTATGACCTGTATTAATCTGGTAGATATGGTTCTTCCTTTGTGAATGAGTGTTATTGAAAGTTTTTCCCTATGATCAACCTTTGTTGTTCATGTAAATAGTGTCTAGTCACTTAAGAATTTAATCTGTACAAGTCAACAATAAATACTTGAATTGGGATCTGAAGCCAGGCTACACTTGTATACTTTCCTTTTCTCAACAGTGTTTTAAATTCTGTACCATTGGTTAATTAATGACACTCTCATAGAACTACCTTCTTTTCCAGGGGGATGATATATAATGTTCTCTATTATAAAATGATGGGGTCCTGGTGATGTTGTGGTTACATGTTGGACTGTGATCTGGAAGGTCACCAGTTCAAAATCTCCAGCCACTCCTTGGGAGAAATATGGAGCTTTTACTCCCCTAAACAGTTATAGTCTCAGTAGCTCACAGGGTCAGTTCTACCCTCTTCTTTTGGGTTGCTCTGAGTCGCTATCAGCTGGATGGCAGTAAGTTCTGCAGGTTTTTTTTTCAGTTTATCATAAAATGATAATGATGCCACTAAAGTAAATCAGATACATATATATGAATGGATTTTGGGCTTGCACTTAATTCTAATCCCAGTGTAAGAACAATTAGTTCTCATGACATGACCCTACTCAATATTTGCCCCATGAAGAGATTGCTGAAAATATGGGGTGCTAGCAAAACGTGAAGAAACCAGATTGTGCCCAAATATGAGCGAGAATAGCATCTAGGGTCTTAAAGGCTTATCTTTAAAAAAGCAGTCATCAAAGTGAGTCATCAATTAAGTCCACAAGGAAGTGACACACTAGCCTGTGTGATTTAAGGATTGTAAATAATAAAATCCATATCTAAGGGAGGGAACAGTATCAGATCTTAAATTACGAACAACTGGTTAGCAGAAGGCCATGGATGCCGGTGGAAGCCCAAAATCCATTTGCAGGTCCCCATATGATCAAGCTTCTGGTGAATCTCCTCTGACCATAGTCCAAGGATATGAATAGTCTGGCTATCAACAGAGAGCATTGTAAAGTCAATTGTGGCTGATGCAGTTAGGTTAGAATTATTATTTGCTTTCCCTTTTGACCTATTTTAAAGTTGTTTTCAGTTTTTCCTATTTTATGCTTTCTTTTTTATTGAAGTTTTCCTGTTTTGTCTTTTCATTGTTTTTTATTTGTGTGCTTCCTGTTTGTGTTTAGTTTGATTTTTTTTTTGTATGTGACATCTAGGATAGGTAAATCCAGAGACAATAATTGGATTAATAATCACCTAGGGGCATGGCAGTGGAAGATGGGGGAAAGGAGTTAAACAACAATGACTACAAGAGGAAAATGTCCTAAAATTGGTTGTGGTGATGATTGCATAACTCTTCTTAATATGATTGGATGATTAACTTTTATTAAATTTGAAATCTATCCCGATAAAACTTTTTAAGATATGAGCAGTATAGGCTTGTACATAGAAAGTAGATTAGTGGTGCTCAGGAGTTGGAGGGAGGTGGGGGTGACTGCTGTGATAGGTCTGGAATTAGGTAGCAGTGCGTCCATCTGGAATTAGGTAGCCGTGCGTCCATCTGGGATTAGGTAGCCGTGCGTCCATCTGGGATTAGGTAGTCGTGCATCCATCTGGGATTGGGTAGCCATGTGTCCATCTGGGATTAGGTAGCCGTGCGTCCATCTGGGATTGGGTAGTCGTGCATCCATCTGGGATTGGGTAGCCATGTGTCCATCTGGGATTAGGTAGTCGTGCATCCATCTGGGATTGGGTAGTCATGTGTCCATCTGGGATTAGGTAGTTGTGATAGTTGCAGAATTCTGTGATCATCCTAAAAACCACTGAATTGTACCTTTTAAAAAGGGTGAGGTTTTTAAAGAGTGAGATTTTTTTGTTTATTAATTAAATCTTAAATTTTTAAAAAGAGCACAGCAAACAAAATTGATAAAGCAACTTTAATAAGAACCTTTTGTATTGCTGGCATTTATTAGGCTTCAACCCTTCAGAAACCAAGATTCGAACTCCTGATGGGAAAGTGTGGCAGGAGGCTGAGTTTCAAAACTTGAGTCGAGAACTGTATCGAGACTTAGCACTACATTTTGCAGGTGAGAGTATATCATTACCCACCCCATCTAATTCATGAAATTTAAACATGAAATTGTCACACAAGTAAAAGATTTTTCTTTTCTAACTTCATGGTGTACTAAAGTAGTAGTGGTTGCAGTTGTAAGGCTCCCTGTGCCACATCCAGGCCGTACTCCAGTATTAAAATTAGCCTGTGTGGTTAAGGACACAAAGACCAGGCTATTTTTAAACTGAAGTAGCTGTAGAGTCAGGCCTGCCTGATTTGGAGACTAGTCAAGTTGAAGTTCACTTCTAAGTCTCCAAGACCATTCTAGTGATCATTAATTTGGTAGGCTGCAGGTAACACATTAGTAAGGGGGCAAGGTCCATAACAAAAAGTGAGCATTATAAGAAGGAAATAAAGTTAGAGATTAGAATTATGAGGACCCAAAGAAGTTGCAGAGAGTGAATTGGAAGTTTCACCCTAATAATGAGTTTGTACTATTGAAGACAGAGTGTGAGTTTGGGCAATATGTGGGTGCTCAATCTGCACTCTCACTGTTGAGAGAAAGAGTAATTTGCCCAGGAGTTATAAAGAATAGTTAAGAATTTAAGCCACGATTCAAAGACATCTCTCACTGATCCCAAAGTCTGGCTAGTAACTCATTATAGAGTTTCTACTAATATTACCATATATACTTGAGTATAAGCCGACCCAACTATCAGCTGAGGGACCTAATTTTTACCACAAAAACTGCGTAAAAAATGTGCTGAAAAACTTGTCTTATACACGAATATATATGGTATATTTTATGTTATTAAATGTCTCATTTTAGTACTGTAATTTTGGAACACTTTGTAAATTTTTTTTCTCGTGGCGAGGATGAAATATTAAGAACAATAACTTTGGAACTATCTTGCAAAAGTTCTAATTCAGGCTCTGCCAGATTAGCTGTGTGTACTAGCTGTATGACATAACTTTTCCCCCTTGGTTTTCTCATACGTAAAGTAGGCATAGTAGCCATATTACCTCAATGGATAGTATCATTGCATAAAAGAACTCTTAAAGGTGTCTGCCTAGCATACTCTGTTTGCCCGCCTCCTTTCTTGTCAGGGTGGATAAACTCTGTTAAGGCTGCGAGTTTAGGTCAACCACTTTCATGTGTTTAGAGTCTCTTCTCTACTTGTGTATTTAAAGACATTGCTTCGGCACTTACCTCCTTTCTTTTGCATCATCAGATTTTCCCTCTCTACCAAGTATGTCCATCCATATACTGTTGATGGCTTGCTGTTATTTCAGCCATCCTAAAAGAACCCAGCTTGACGCTGCTTCTCCAGCCACCATTTCTTTCTTTTGCTTATAACAAAATGGTAAAAGGTTGCCTTTTATTCATTGCTACCTATTTTTCTCCTTCCTTTCTCTCTCTTGAATATTTGCCGTTATATTTCTGTGGACTTCTGTTACCAAGATCATTGATGACTTCCACATTGCTGAATCTAAATTTTAATTCTCAGTTGTCATTTTACTTGATTTCTCAGCAGCATTTGACATGATTGATCCTTCTTGAACATCTTCCCTTGATAGCTTGTTAGTTGTTGAAGTGGCTCTGACTCCTGGTGACCTTCATGTGTATCAGAATGCAATGTTGCCTGGTCCTATGTCATTTCTATGCTCTCTGATGTATGAGCCCATCATTGAGGCTGTGTTGTGAAGCCATCGATCTCACTGAGGACACGATACCCCTTTCTAGTGATTGGTCTTTCCTGATGATTTATTCAAAGTGAGCAAGACAAAGTCTCATTATCCTCAAATCCAAGGAGTATTCCAGTTGTATTTCTTCTAAGGCTGATTTGTTCATTTTTCTGGTAATCCATGGTATATTTAGTGTTATTTGCCAATATTACAATTCAAGTCCATCAATTTTTCTTGTTTTAAAATTTTTATAATTTTTTTTTTATTGTCCAACTTCCATATGTTAGTGGGGTGATTGAAAAGCCCATGTTTGGGATCAGGTGCACTTTAGTCCTCTTAAGTGGCATCTTTGCTTTAGAACTGTAAAAAAGCCTTTTGCGGACTTCATAATCACTGCTTCCCTGAACATTGATTGTTGGTCCAACAGAATGAAATCCTTGATAGCCTCAAAATTTCTGCCATTTTTAAATGATGCTGTTTATTGGTTTAGTGTTACCCATTCTGTGGGCTTTAGTCTTTGAACTTTATCAGTAATACTTCAAGTCATTTTAATTTTCAGCAAGGAGTTCTATTCTATTGTATATAAGTTGTTCATAAGTCTTCTATAATTTCTGATACTGAGTTCTTATAATAACCAGCATCCCCCCAGCTCCAACTCCCATAGTCTTCTAGTCAAATGTAACACATAGTAGCCCTGTAGGACAGAGTGAAGCTGTCTCCATAGGATAGTTTAGCCTGTAATCTTTACCGAGGTAGACAACTATATCTGTTTCCCACCAAGTGCTTGGTGAATTCAAACCACTGACTGTGGTTAACAGCCAAGTGCTTAGTTAGCCACTATATCATCAGCATTCCTTCTTATGATAGCTAGCATACCATACTTTTCTGGCTTTTCTTTGAGTTTAGCTGCTCCTTTTTTATTTTTTACTTTTTGCCCTAATCCAATCCTCCTTGACCTATAAATATTGGCATGCCCTATCTGGCCTTAGTTCTTAGATTTTTTTTTTTAATATGCGTGTGAAGCAAACTCACCTAGTCTGACGGCTTTTGGTGAAGATTGCTTTCTCCCTATCAAAACCATGTAATCTGTATTGATTTTTGCTATAGTGGGGAGGGAGGTTGTCAGTGTGGGAGTCATTACAATATTTGCTGTATTTCTGTTTTTAGATGATATCTCTATAAAAGAAAAACCTGCTGAAAAAAGTAAGGAGAAGAAAGTGGTCAAACCAGTAAGAAAAGTCCAAAAGGCAGCACAATTAACAAGTCCAGAGTGCAAAACAGGTCAGTTTTCTCAATTTAATTTCCCTCTATAGGAATATAATTATCACCTACCAAATGTACATTTTTTTGGGCATATATAAAAATTCATTACTTTTATGTGTTATTTTGTGTGTTATGTGCTTCTTTGAAATATAATGGACATAGCACAAGCTACATATTTAGTATATAGTTTAAGTTTTTATTATGTATATGCTTTTGAAATTCTATGTTCATTATATGTGAGTTATATATTTACAGTATGAAGTTATAACTATCATTCGGAAGAATTTTTCTTCCGTCATCAATTAAAGACTATAGTTTTTATGTAATAAATTTTTATATGCAGGGGAATTGCTTATAACTGTCACTGCCCTTTCTGTCTTTCTCAAGAGACAGTAAATGCTGCGCAACAAAAGTTCAGTAGTCTAAGGAAGCTTTGGCCAAACTCTGAATGGATCAAGACAGAGAGATGAGAATTCTCTAATGTCAGAGTGGTTAGCACTGCAGGCTGGCTCCAGATTGCCTAGGTTTATAGCCTAAATCTCTCATGTCTAGTTGTGGTCTGATAGTAAAATTTTGGAGGCAGGGGATGTCTGACCTCTGATCCTACCAGGGGAAAGGAGAAGCAAACTCCACATCAGCCCAAGACCAACTCTTGTTAATACGAGTTCAGATTTTCCTTTCCATCCAGCCCTCCTTACTGTTCTGATACCAATTGTCCCTCCCACAGCACTCTGCTTTTCACCTGGGTTTGATATTCTGTTGTTATGGCCACATAAAATCCAGACCATACTCATGATTATGGGCTTTATTAGAGAAGTTAACCGATTACAATGTAGGAGCAGTAATGATCAAGATGTAGTTCTTTGATCGAAACAGTCTTTTCCTATTATACCCACAGGGCAAGCCCCTCTCTCTGATCCTCAGCTCTTCAGCCACAAGACCCTTTGTCCTGTCTTCTCCTCTGGCAATGTTACAGAGCTCATTTAACACTGCCAGTAAAATGTCCAAAAGGCACCCTACACCACCATAATCCTCAACCCAAAGGCGCTAAGTTCTAGGCCCATCGGTCAGTAAGCCTAGCTCCTCCAATAAAGTGGCTGGAGGCACCCCACTCTGAAAGTGAACCACCTGCCTAAATGCACTCAGTTTTCCTTGCACTGTGGCCTGGGAATCCCACTGCTCTGTCTGCTGCTCTGGTTCTTGGTTCTGCTGCTGCCACTCTTCTGGTTTCACAGCTTTTCCTCCTGGACCAAGTAGCTTCATTGTGCAGGAATCTCAGAGTCCATACAATATGATCCACTCCTGGCTCTTCATTCTGGATGGGAGGGAGATTCATTCTTCTACTGGTTAGATGTCTCATTTATACCCAGGAAAATTTCAAAACTGACCGACCCCCATGTTCGAGTTCCAAGTAATTTTAATCGTTATTAACTCTGTTAATAAGCACTCACAACTGAATCACATAATTCAGTCAGCTTCTTCCCCCATCTTCTTTTACCTAGACTCATCAGGAAAAAGTTGTTTGGAGGCAGTTATAAAGATTATGGCTAGAGGAGCCATATCAACTAATCCATTACACTATAATTCCTTTGATAAATTAATTTTACTATGCCTCAGTTTCCATATATGTAAACATTTAAGTTAATAGGTGAGTGCAAAGCACTTGTGCTACCCAGAAACCTAGCCTAATTAATAGAATGGCAAGCAGCCTATTTTGTGATATCCATTGTTAACTCTAAAGGACAAAATAGAGTGATCCTGCTGTGTGCAAATAAAAAACTAAATTACAGAAGTAAACTAGCTCATATATTTAAAAAGTAGCTGCCCTGTTAAGGGGATAGTTTGAAATGAAGCACAGGGATCACTCTAACTGATGAGCATTGATCATGTATTTATCTAGATTTGTGGTAGATCAATTACCATGGCAGACATAAAATACCTAGGTAGACACAAAAATTCCGGTAACACTATCTATAGTGAAAGCCCTCTTTTCCCACTAATGATAGCATGAGACTATTTCAGAAATCCAGAAGTTAAGAGAAACCATACAGTTTATTCAGAGGCCAAAAGGTATAAATAACTGCACAGTATATTCATAGTGGCTTGCTTTTGATTCAGAAAATGAAGTTGAAATTGAAGAGAAACCTCTTCTCTCATTTTGGTTGAGAACATAGTTTCTAATAGATAGCCTGAGCCCTAGACTGAAACTCTTTTTAATATTTTAAAGAGACTGTTTAAAGTTAATAACAAGGTATAAAAACATTTGTTTTTAAAATAGCACACATTTGAAATTGATCCTTCTTTGTCATAGATGTTTTCATTAAAACTTTACTTGTGTTTTAATTTTAAATTAAAGCTCTTTTTTTTAGATCTAAATAGGATGTCTGTGTTACAATATAATGATACATTATGAAGAACTTGAAAAATAGAAGAAACATACAAATAGTATATACTAGTATTATTTTACCTATTAACCTTATGGTAATGTACAAATCACAATAATATGTGACTGTAATCATTATACACATCAAATTTTATCTTTTTCTCATAGCACCTTTTCTCCAGATAATTTCTGATGGAACTTGTAATTTGAAATGACCACACAATACTCCATCTAGTAGATACGCACCGTATATATTCGTGTATAAGTCAAGTTTTCCCAACACATTTTTAGGCAGTTTTGTGGTAAAATTAGGTGCCTTGGCTGATAGGTCGGCTTATACTCGCGTATGTACAGTAGTTTAATTAACCCTTAGCCATAGTTTATTCACCATTTGTCAGGTTGTTTTTGATATTATGAAAATGACATGGAGAACCTTTTCACTTCTTCTGGATTATTTCTATTTTGTACATTTCTCTAAATTGTTTGATTAAGGAGAATAAATAAAGCATAATAGTATACCTAATTTTTTTTGTCCAGATCTGTGTCCATTTCTATTTCAGCAAGCAATGCTTAAGTATAATGATTATACTGCAATGTTATTATTATTGGCTATTAGTGTATACATTTTTTCCAATTTAATTAGGTTTAAAGTGCTATTTTACTATTTTCATTCCATAGTGTTAGCTTTGTGTTTAATAACATTTCACAAACCCGGATTTACATTTTTATAGTTTCTTTTTAATAAGGTCTTTCATGTCATTTGTTGTTTTTTAGGTTACTAAATTTTGTGCGATGATGTTTAATTTTCTCTTAATCTGGAAATAATAAATGATAAGTTTGTTCTCTGAAAACACCTATATTTATTGTAACACACTCTATTTTGTGAATTTTTATAATCATTTACCTACATGTTTTAAAATAATTGTAAAACATACTGGTTTTGGGAGGTTTAGGATTTAAAATTAAATTTATTTCTAAACCTTTTGACCTTGGCAGAAGATGAGCTTAAAACTAATTACAAAGCTTACATGGTTGAGTAGATACACTTTTTAAACTAAAATTTACGTTTTAAATTCCGTGTAATATTTATTTTTCAGGTGGTAGTCATCTGATAAGTACATCTTCTTGGCGAGATGGGCAGAAATTAGTAAAGAAGATTCTGGGACCTGCACCCAGAATGGAACCGAAGGAACGAAGAACCGTGTCAAGTGACAGAAGTGGAAGAGAAAGACCTGGCAGATCTGGTGAGCAGCTCTTTTTAAAGTGGGAGGGAAGGCAGTCTTGTTGGTTGAGAGCATAAAAATGGTTTGTAATAAAATTGTATAAGTACTTAAACCCATTTCTGTCAAATTGATTTTGACTCAGAATGGTCCCATAAGGCAGAGTAGAACTGGCCCATAGAGTTTCTAAGGCCGCAGTCATGTGATAAGTACTGTATATATTCGTGTATAAGCCGACCTGAATTTTTAAAAAAAAATTATTTTATTGGGGGCTCGTACAATTCTTATCACAATCCATACATACATCCATTGTGTCAAGCACATATGTACATTCACTGTCCTCATAATTCTCAAAATATTTGCCCTCCACCTCAGCCCTTAATATCATTTGTTCATCACCCCCCACCCCATGAGCCCTTCATAATTCACAACTTATTATAGTTTTGTCATAAGTTACACTGTCCAACATCTCCCTCCGCCCTCTTCTCTGCTGTCCATCCCCCAGGGAGGAGGCAATACTTAGATTCTTGTAATCGCTTAGCATTATTTCCTCCAGTTCTTCCCATGCGGCGATATGCTTCATGCATTCGTCGCTGCTTTTTAGTGATGCATAGTACTCCATTGTAAGTATGTACCACAGCTTTTTAATCCATTCGTCTGTTGGTGGAAATTTGGGTTACTTCCAACTCCTTGCGTTTGTGAACTGTGCCGCAATGAACATTGGAGCACAGATGTCTGGCCTTGGTTTGTTTCTTGCCTCTTCTGGGTATATGACCAGTAGGGGGATTGTTGGGTTGTATGGTAACTCAATTTCCATCTGTTTGAGAAATCGCCAAATCGATTTCCATAGTGGCTCTACATATCTACAGGTCCACCAGCAGTGGATGACAGTTCCTGTCTCACCACAGTCCCTCCAACACTTGTTGTTTTCTGATTTTTTGAACTGGGCTATCTTTGAGGGTGTTAGGTGGTATCTCATAGTTTTTTTGATTTGCATTTCTCTTATGGCTAATGGTCGGGAACATTTTCTCATATGTTTATTGGCCATTCAGATTTCAGACTCTGTGAAACTTCTGTTCAGGTCCTTTTCCCACCTCCTTAGTGGGCAGTTAGTTTTTCTCTTATTGTGACCTTGCAAGGTTTTGTAGATTTTAGTAATAAGGCCTTTGTCTGATGTGTCATTGCTAAAGATGTTTTCCCAGTTAGTGGACTCTCTTATTCCTCTCTTGGTGAATTCACAGTTGTCTTATCTTCAGTATGCCCTACTTTTCTATTTGTAACTCCTCTATGTTTGTATCCTTTCCTATTTCTGAAAGCCTATGTATTCCCCACCTAATTTTACCACAAAAACTGCATAGAAAATGCGTTGAAAACTCTGGTTGTACACGAGTATATACAGTATATCTTTCTCCCTCAGAGTGACTGTTGGGTAAACAGTGGATTTTTTTGTTTTGTTTTTCTCAATTCAAAGCCTTGAACCCGAACCGTGAATTCATTGTTTCTCTTTTTTGAAGTATCTCAGAGCTTACTGGAAATAACTAGTTACCTTTTGATGAGCATTTCATTTTTAGAAGTGAAAGTTTACAAGTACTTGCAGGATAGCTTTCCTTTTCAACATCAAACTGTGCCTCAATTCATTTGAATTTCTGCAATGGATTTAGTTAGAAATGGAATCCCAAGTAGAATTTGGTACATAGAGGTCCTTGAATTGATTTGATTGCCTTACATCAAAGGCATTTGCTGTCACGCCAACAAACATTTAGGTGATAAAGCAATCTTTTATAAAAAAATTTTTTCTATCACTCATTGGAGAATTGTGGATACTTCACATCTATTTATTTGTTCAGCAAATATTAATTGTGTACCTACTACGTAGGAAGAAGGCTCTAATCTCTCGGGATTTAGAGTCAACTGAGATTCCTGCCCACATGCAGAAAATATTCAAGTAGAAGGAAATATTAACCTCCTTTCAACACCTCTTATTGAAGTCTGCCCTCTTTCTCTGGAAATAGGTTATGGGATAAGATACTCCATAGCCTTTTAAAATATTTAAAGTTTCAGTCTTTGAAGATTTCCTCTGAAAATATTAAAATGGCATTGTGATCACATGCGAGGCCAGTTTTATTCATCTCTTTACTAACAGACAGTGTAAATCAAACTAAGAAATATCTGGTAAACGCATTTGAATGTAATACCATTTCATGTCATTGTGAAATATAGATCAGTATTGTAGAATTTTCAGAAAAGGTCTTTTTTTCAGTGTCCTCATGATGTAGATTTGTCATTAGTAGTGTGGTTTTGGGGAAGCTTTAAAAATGATCATTTTTGTGATTTTTCATGTTTTTATGATATTGTCTTAATCCCAACTAGGATGCCTTCTTTAGAGGAGTGGGGAAGGAGAGAAGTTGTAATATTAAATATGCACATCAATCCTAAGGACTTATTTTAGAAATGTTAAAAGATACATTTAAAATAAAGGGTTAAGTCGTTTTTTTAAAAGATTGAAGATCTTCTCTTACTGCTAAAAAGAGGTTTTGTTTCATTCCTTCCATAATGCTCTTTAGAAAACTTTAGACATAATGAATGTACAAATGTGTTTCACACAATTGATATATGTATATAGATTGTGATAAGAGTTGTATGAGCCCCTAATGATTAAAAAAGGGAAAACTTTAGACATAAGATATTTGAAGCTAAAAAGAGAGAGAGATTTGAGATTAAGATAAGTCAAATTCCTTAATTTTTTCCTTTAGCGTAGTAAATCATAGTGAAACCAGAAGTTAATGGGTCATTAACAATTCACATTTTGCAGGGGTTCATATTGGAAGAGCAGAATCCGATCCCAGGTTGGATGTTTTACATAGATGTCTTCCGCGAAGCTCAGAACGTTCGAGAAGTAGAGCTCGGTCTGAAAATAATATAAAGAAATCAACTTCATCCCTTCCTGATAATAAACAGGAAGAAGATACTGCCTTAAATAAGGATTTTTTACCTGTTGAAATTCGTGGCATCCTTGACGACCTGCAGCTGGATTCTGTAACACAGCCGGCAAGGCAAGAGACCGGAGAGCTGCAGACCCAGAAGCCACCAGCCCTGGTCCCAGCTCCCCGGAGCCATAGCCCAGTGAAAAGAAAACCCGACAAAATAACTGCTCATGAAGACCCCCCTGTCATTTCCAAAAAGCGCCACTATGACACAGATGAGGTCCGACAATACATTGTTAGACAGCAGGAGGAGAGGAAGAGGAAGCAAAATGAAGAGAAGAAGGCTCAAAAGGAGGCCACCGAACAGAAGAACAAGCGATTACAGGAACTCTACCGGAAACAGAAAGAAGCCTTTACTAAAGTGAAGAATGTGCTGCCTCCTGAGCCTTCAGCAGCTAGGCGACTACAAGAAACATACTCCAAATTGTTGCTAGAAAAGACCGTGCTTGACGAGCCACCTCATTCACATGCTACACAGGAAACACAGGTAACAGCAGGGGCAGAAATGCAGAGGTTAATTCATGGTTAGGAAAAGCTTATTTATCATACTACTAGAAAATTACCCACCACTCCTAATATTCAAGCCATGCTCACAAAGTATTTGTAATAATGGTGACCACTTATGATATTTATTTTAGGTGAAAAGTATTGTGGACTATTATGGGGAACAGGACTGAGTAATTTCCCAGTGACTATTCATGCTCTCTGCTCAGTCACTGTTGCTATGACTTTTTAATCTCATCATGTTAAAAAAAAACTTCTTTTGGTTATCTCTGCTGAAATTAGAGAATAACCTGGCTAATTGTGGTGATCCTATGAGAAATGCTAAGTTTTAAAGACTAGTAACATTGACTACTTAAAATGAGGCTTAGGAAGGTCAACTTCCTGTCAGTTACACAATACTAACTGCTCTTGTTGGATTTCAGATGCAGTTTTGCTCTTCTAGAGTTAAATTTTAATTGGTTTTATCTGGGGGTGGGGGGTGGGGATGAAACCCCTACATGTATGATCTTTGTCGAGCTGAAGTGATTTAATGTTTGTGTGCTCCCTCTTTGTGATAGGAGTCAGATAAATTTGATATTCTTTCCTCTTAGGCCAGACCCGGGTATCAGCCATCTGGAGAATCTGACAAAGAAAACAAAGTGCAGGAACGTCCCCCAAGTGCATCTTCTAGTAGTGACATGTCTCTATCAGAACCTCCACAGCCTCTTACACGGTAAGACGGGGAGAGTAAAAGATGCTTAGGGTTCTTTCTTTCCACGACATGCAGTAGGTGTTGTTGTCAGCTGCAGCCATGTTGTTGAGTTACGGCAACTTTACATCAGAAGGAAACATTGCTTGGTTCTGCCTCATATTCAAATCACCAGCATGGTTGAGTTGGTGTTATGGCCCTGGCCCCCATTCACCTTACTGGGATGTTCTGTGCTCTTTTGGCCCTTGACTTCGCCGAATATGAGGTCTTCCTTTAGCACTTCATCTCCTGAGTCATTGGCTAATTTTCAAAAGTAGATTACCAGGCCTTTCTTTGTAGTTTGTCTTAGTCTGCAAGCTTATGTGAAATACTGGTGGCATAGCTTCCAGCATGATAACATGCAAAGCACTACAATACGACACACCGAGAGGTAAGTGGTCAAGTACAGTGGCTTTAAAATACTGAGTGAGTTTTCCTGATGACCTTCGGTATGAGCAAGAAAGCAGAAAGAAATTTACCATGAAATGATTGAATACTCTGATGGACACTTCAGCATGGTATGTAGCTGCCCTACACTATGAGGGAGCTTCACAAAGTTTGTGGGAAAAGGATGAACCTAGAGTAAGGTGACCAGATTTTAACATTGGTAAAGCGGGACACCATTGATAAAACTCATATCCTGGCAAAATAGCCACATGGCAGCTGAAAACTGTATACCCTAGCTTGTCGTGCATTCTTTCTAAAAATCAGGACTTTTTCAAAACGCTGCGGGACATGGGAAAAATTGTTAAAAATCTGGACAATCCGCCAAAAACGGGACGTCTGGTCACCTTAACCTAGAGGGACAGCAAGTGTAAGGACTTCTGCAGGGTACAATGGTGGGGTGGGGAGAGGGCCAAGGGAGCAGATGTCAAGGAGTTAAAAAAGGAAAAGAATGTTTTGAAACTGATTGTAGTAGTAATTGTACAATACTGCTTGATGTGCTTGAACTGTGGAATGATATGGTATCTGTATTAACTCCCAATGAAATGGTTTTGGGAAAAAAAAAAAAGATAAAGGGATTTCCCCATAAACTCCCCTTATAGTTGTACAGTATTTTCCTGTCCTTTAATGTCCAGTTTAATTGTCAGTTCCTTGGGGATTACTTACCTACAGTTGGAAACAGTCTTGCCTTCTCTAAATTAAGCATCCAATAATACTTTTTTGGATAAATCACAATGAAATCAGTATTGTAATGTATTATGAATAATTTTCAAGATATTTTATATAAATATTCAAATTTCTTCACATGACTCATACCAATTTGTGCATCTTATTTTTTTTTAATGTAAACCAGGTCATAACTTCCATGTTTATTTATTTACTAATAAATCATTTTATTGAGGGCTCTTACATATGACAATCTATACATCTGTTATATTAAGCAGACATATACAAATGTTGGCATCAACAATTTCTCAAAACATTATCTTTCTTCTTGAGCCCTTTTATATCAGCTCCTCTATATTCCCTCCCTCCCCTCCCCTACCACCCCCGTGAACACTTTATATATTATGGATGTTATTATTGTTTATACATATCTTATACCACCCATACTATCCCTTCATCTACTATCCTGGTAAAAGAGACCCAGCTTTAGGAAGCCACTGGTCGTGCGAAGGGTTGGACTCAGCCGTTGGGTCAATTTCGACTCAGTGACCCAACGGGCAGGGTAGCACTGTCCCTGTGGGTTTCTAAAACTGTTACTTTTTCCAGGAGTAGAAAGCCTTGTCTAGTACCTTGGGAGTGGCCGGTGATTTCAAACTGCTGACCTTATGGCTTGTAGCCCAACATGTAACCCACTATGCTGCCAGCGCTTCTAAGGCTACATCTTACCTTTTTTTTTTTAAATCATTTTATTGGGGCTCGTATAACTTTTACCACAATCATACATCCATTGTGTCAAGCACATTTGTACGTTTGTTGCCATCATCATTCTCAAAACATTTGCTTTCTCCTTGAGCCCTTGGTATCAGCTCCTCATTTTTTCTCCCTCCCTCTCCGCTCCCCACTCCCTCATGAACACTTGATAATTTATAAATTATTATTATTTTGTCATATCTTACACTGTCCTATGTCTCTCTTCACCCACTTTTCTGTTGTCCATCCCCCAAGGAGAAGGTTATATGTAGATTTTGATGAGTTGTACAAGTCCCCAATAAAATGATTTTTAAAAATTTACAACCTCAGAAAGGGTCACTGTGAGTCAGAATAAACTGCACAGTATTGAAGAATCTCCATATGAGGAGTTCCTGCGTGGTGCAAATAGTTAAATGTTTGACGACTAGCTAAAAGATTGGCTGTTCAAACCCATCCCTAAGTGCCTCCAAAAACAGGTCTGACCATCTGCTTCTGGAAGATCACAGAAACTATATGAATCAGTTCTGTGCACACTTGGGTCAGCATGAGTTGTGTTTGACTGTACAGCAATTAACAGCCATAATTCTTCTACCATCAATATAGTGACTGCTGTATTATTTGAGTTTAAATACTTGAATTTAAAACTCTTGATTTTCACTAATCATTATCTTTTTTTTATTAAATTATTTTATTGGGAGCTCTTACATCTCTTATCACAATCCATACATTCATCTGTTGTGTCAAGTACATTTGCACATATGCTGCCATCATCATTTTCAAAACATTCTCTTCCCACTTGAGGTCCTGATATCAACTCCCCATTTCTTCCCCCTCCCTCCCCTACCCACCGTCCCTCATGAACCCTTGATAAGTTATAGATTATTATTTTCATATCTTACATCGTCCTCTGTTGCCCCTCACCCACTTTTCCGTTGTTTGTCCCCCCTGGGAGGAGGTTATAGGTTGATCCTTGTGATCGATTCCCCTTTTCTCCTCCCACCATCCTCTAATCCTCCTGATATCTCTACTCTCATCGTTGGCCCTGAGGAGTTTATCTATCCTGGATCCCCTGTGTTTCAGGTTCTTACCTGTAGCAGTGTGCATGTTCTGGTCTAATCCGATTTGTAAAGTAGAATTGAGGTCATGATAGTGGGGGCCGGGGAGGAAAGCACCAAGCACCAAAGAACTAGAGGAAAGCTGTGTGTTTCATCGGTGCTATACTGCACCCTGACTGGCTCATCTCTTTCCTGTGATCCTCTGTGAGGGGATCTTTTCTATTTCTAATTTTCTTTACATTCCTATTGCCACTACTTTAAGTCCTAATTACCTCATACTTTGCATTTGGATTAGCCTGTATCCTGTGACATAAAATCTGTGTTCTTGTCATTCATTCTTCTTACCAGCCCTACAGTATAAAAGACTGCTTCCAAAAAAATTAAAAAATAAATTTTTTCAGTCCCTGAGTTACCTTCTGCCAGATGCCGGTTTCAGTCCAAGCCTAGGACTTGCTATTTCTCCATATTAGTTTGACCTAAGACTGCAGCTTGTCCAGATAATTTTGAATCATATTTTGGTCATGTTAGGTTAGCCATGCCACCCAACTTTGTGTCATCTGAAAATTTGTTAAGCAAATCTGTATGTCATCATTCAAAAAGAATGGATAAGATCAAGGAGAAAACCTCATGTCTCAGTAGTTCACACCAGGCCTGTTCTCTTTTATAGTTAGGAACACGCTGAATAGACGCAGTGCTGTCTAGCACATCTTTACTCTGTGTCTCAGCTTTATGGCCTGCTACTTTTCATTGAATATTGATAGTCGATGATCACTTTATCTTTCAGCTTTTGATGTTCATTAACTAGGTTATTTTGTAACAAATTATATTTCTTTAGTGTCTACTTTGTTAAACATAAATGTTGAACGTTTGGTAAAAGTATTGATTAGAATAATCTGTACTTTGTCGACATTACTATTTAGTAATCTTAAACATTTCTTTTATATAATATCATTTTAAAAGGAAATGTTAAAGCCAATGATATAAAGAATTTTGTTCAATGTCGTAAAGATTTTAATCGCTTCTCTTTATATATTTTAAAAATATGATGCCTTAGTTGAAGGAAGCAGTTTGCAAAAGAAAAATATGTATGGCAAAAACAATTTTTGTATAAACACAACCACCAAAACATAATACATACACATAGGACGTTATTTGGAAGGATATAATTGTAAGTAAAGTATTAATAATACCTTTCTGGATTATTTTATGAGTTGTCTTTATCTTTTGACCTTCCCACCCCCTTCCCACTCCCACAGTGAGTGTGCATTATGCTTGTAATCAGGAAAAAAATTTAAATACTGGCATAGTTATTAGTTGCTACAATAAATACTGTATTGTGCCTTTTTTATTTCCAGAAGAGACTTGATGGAAACTACATGGATGCAGCCTGACAGATTGAGCCCACGAGTCCATCAACCTCAACCACAGCCCCTTGTTGGACCTGCTGGAAATTTACTCTCCCATCTCTTACGTCTAGAACATGTAGGACTTTTGAATAAAGATTTTGACTCTCTTTTACCAACCAGGAAGAATCATAATGTGGCTTCAGGGCCAATAACTTTTACACCTCAAACATATCTGACCTCACCAGCTGCTTATCCAGATGCCTTGTTAAAACCTAGTGCCAGCCAATATAAGAGTAAACTGGATCGCATCGAAGCCTTGAAAGCCACAGCTGCTTCCTTGTCCAGCAGGATTGAAAGTGAAGCCAAGAAATTAGCTGGGGCCAACATTAACTATGGGTCAGCATGGAACACTGAGTGTGATGTACAGCAAGAGGTTCCAGAAGATGGACCTTGGATCAAGGCTATAAGTCCACCTGTGAAAGAGGACACAGAAGATGTCTTCTCTGCCCGAATTCAAAAGATGCTGGGAACCTGTATATCTCATGCAACTTTTGATGATGATCTCCCTGGTGTTGGCAATCTTAGTGAATTTAAAAAGCTTCCTGAGATGATCAGACCTCACAGTGCCATATCAAGCTTCAGGATAAAATCTCCTGGTCCCAAACCAGAAGGGCTGCTCGCACAATTGTGTAAGAGGCAAACCGAGTCTTCCTGCTCTGAGATGCCAGCCTGCTCACAAGGGAAAGCCAAAATGTCTCTTGGTTCCAGCATAGATTCAATCAGTGAAGGGCCACTTCTTAGTGAGGGTAGTCTCTCTGAAGAAGAAGCAGGCCGGGAAGGGCGGACTCTTTTGAAAGTAGCAGCAATCTTAAAAGAAAAGGAGTTCTGTGCTGGAGAAAGAAATACTTATGAGCCCATCAAAGAGTTTCAGAAGGAGGCTGAAAAATTCTTGCCACTTTTGGGGCATTTAAGTGGTACACAAAACAAAGGACCGTGGGAAGAATTAGCAAAGGGAAGTCCACATAGTGTCATTAATATATTTACCAAATCTTACCAGTTATATGGGAAAGGTAAGAAGAAGAAGTAAGCTGTATAAATGTGTATGTCGTATGTTGAGATGAATTACTTCATACTTCCTGTACAGTTCATATAGATAACAAGCACACAACTTCATTGCTCATTATAAGAATAATGGAGACTTATATTGTTCATATTAGTTATCTTCTAAGTTATCTGTAAGTTTCCAACTAGAGTATTAGTAATTTAATCTTTAAGATTTTGTTTTAGTTATTGTCATAAAATAATAGTTGATAGTTAGCTACAGGAAATGCAGATCTGCTTTGGAGAAACTTCTTTGTGATTTTCAGGATTGTTGTAACAAGTGTATTCAAGCTTTACTGAGATCATAGTTGTGTAATTAAGTAGAAAATTAGTATATTTCTAACTTCAGTTATTTGTGATTTATTGTGAATGTTATTGGCAAGATTTGAGGGGGTAACTAGTAGCAATTCTAATTTAGAAACAATTCTATTTTTGTTAAAATTAAGTTTAATAGCAGTTAGATTTTAAATAGTAATGTAATTTCATAGCTGTCCTAAAACACTAACTTCTAAAGTTCTTGAATTGTCTCTGATCTCCTGTAACAATCTTTCGTTCTCTGTGATGAACTTAGTCTCTTTAAGTTCTTTCTTTCTTCCTCCTGATTCTATCCATCTTATGCTAACAGAACCTTAGAATTTCCAGTTGCAGGGCATGAGGCTGAGCTGGAAAAGCTAGCTATTCATGTATGATTTTCTTTCTTTTTTTTCCTTTCATGTATGATTTTCTACTCCCATCCGATAGCGTGTACCGATAATTTGACAAACTGATTTATTGTGCTCCTCTTATGTTCAAGTGGCTAACACACTGTGTTCTATGAGAATTCATATTTAAGTACTTTTAATGGTCTTGTGAAACCCTGGTAGTTATACTTTTTCATTTAGTCTCATATTTTAGGAAGAAATGATATACTATCTTGGGCTTGCTTCTGAATCAGGCAGGTGGGGTTTAGCAAATGGGAGTAGCATAGGAAGTTTAATTGACACTAGATTGGTCATGTGTTCATAAATATTAAAGCTGAGTGATGGGTACATGGATTCATTATGCTATTTTTTCCTACTCATTTGAATGGGAAATTGAACATACATTGTTTTGTGTTATTACTGCACCTTAAAGCAGGGTTCACAACCTGTGGGTTGTGACCCCTTTGGGGGGGGTGTCGAACGACCCTTTCACAGGGGTTGCCCGATTCATAACAGTAGCAATGTTACAGTTAAGAAGTAGCAACGAAAATCATTTTATGGTCGGGACGGGGGTCACCACAACATGAGGAACTGTATGAAAGGGTTGCGGCCTTAGGAAGGCTGAGACCCACTGCCTTAAAGCAAACCGAAAATGAGCGGAATCTGGGAACCCAAGAGGCAAGCGAATTTTGGGAATAATGAGGGCAACAAATGTATAGATGTGCTTTACACAATTAATCTATGTATTGTGATGAATGAATTGTATGAGCCCCAATAAATTGATTAAAAAACAAAACAAAAAAGAAATAAACATTTCACATTATAGAAGAAAAAAAAAAGCAAACCAAAAGGAAGCATCATAATAAGAGCAAAGAAAAACACCCCAAAGGTCATGCTGTGAAGTGATTTCTGGAGCGCTTAGCACTTCTGTTGTTAAGCATACTTTAATTATCCTCACAGGGTTGGAGGACCGGCTGGGAAGAGGAGCATCCGCAGTCGGCCTTTTGAGTACCACCACGACTCCTCTGAGCAGTGTCTCCTATGAAGATGACTTTGTCTCCTCGCCCGGGAGTGCGGCTCTGACAGGGAAAAAACCACCGCTGGAACCTACGTAAGAATATGGTGGCAACACGGAGGAAAATCTGAAGTGGGAGGAAAATGCATGCTTGGAAACCGTGTTCTGAACATTGGACACAGTTCACTTGTGTGAAGATATGTATTATTATTCAAGTGTCTAGAATGATTAAAAGCAGAAGCTCTAGATCTTGACGACACAAGTGTGCTGATGATTAGTTGTTGGATTGGGGGCACGTTGCTTGGCCTTCCTGTTGCTCAGTTTGCTTTCATTTAAAGTGAGGAAAATAATAGTAGTGCCTGTCCCACAGAGCTCTTGTGAGTATTTAGTGGAACACATAGTTTTCATTAGAATAGGGTTTGGCACATGGAGAAAAAATTCTTATGAATCTTTCAGTCTCTAAATTCTAATAGATTATATCATTGAGAAACTGTACATGGTATACTCAGGTAAGAAGGGTAAGACATTAAACTGAGTAAGATCAGAGAGCTTCTTCACTCTGATCCCACATCATGTTTTTGTAATCAAGGAAACATCAGAAAATGAGCAAAGCTTTGAGAAATAACTAGTTATCATTATGGTAACAGCCAGTATATATTGAGCACGTAACTATGCAAAGTGCTGAGAGGAAAAGAAAGCCCAGTGATCAGTGGGGAGCCTCCCCGTGCTGAGTCTCAAAGACAATCTGGCGTGGTGATTGTGGTTGTCACTCCTTATTTTAGGTCGGAAACTGAAGCACAGAGAGGCTAAGTTACTTGTAGGAAGTCACATAAGTGAATCCAGCTCTGTAGGGAAATTTTTCTCCCCCAGTTTTTTTACCCTGTAAATGAATTTGTATCCATCCATATTTGATACCATTTTTTTCTTATACAAATGGACTTCCACATAAGATGAATAGGTGAGCTTATAAAAATTATCTTCAGGGAGGGGGGAACGGGGAAGGAGGGGGAAAAATGAGGAACTGATGCCAGGGGCTTTGGTGGAGAGCAAATGTTTTGAGAATGATGAGGGCAATGAATGTACAAATGTGCTTTACACAATGGATGTATGTATGGATTGTGATAAGAGTTGTATGAGCCCCTAGTAAAACGATTAAAAAAAAATTAAGGCACATGTCACACTTTCTGAAAAAAATTTTTCTTGTGTAGTGCTAATATAGAAAGTATTAAAATTATATCAGGAAAAGTTACAGTTTTAATTTCAAATTCTAAAGAAGATTATTGAGTGATGGTGCTGGCAAAGAATACTGAAAGTACCATGGACTTCCAAAAGAACAAACAAATCTGCCCTGGAAGAAGTGTGCCTCCTGAGACAAGGATGGCAAACTTCCTGTCACGTACTTTGGGCATGTTGTTAGGAGAGACCAGTCCCTGGAGGAGGACACCATGCTGGGTAAAGTGGACGCGGAAGGCCTTCGATGAGATGGGCTGACACAGTGGCTACTTGTGAGCTTGAACTTAGGAACACTTGTGAGGACGGCTCAGGACCCGACAGTGTGCTGTTCTGTCGTACGTGCGGTTGTTCTAACTTTGAGGTAGAAATCGACCTGATGGCACCTAACAACAACAACAGCAGAGATTAAATTTTTAAAACCAAACTTGGGTTTAATTGTGGTGATTCTAAATCAATCAGGAAAAATATATCAATATGATTTGATGTGCTTTTTTAAAAATATAGTTATAAACTTGAAGAAAAATTTCTATATACAACATTATGTAATTTTTTTCTTATAAGTATCATTTCCAAGAAAAGCTCACTTGAGGTTTTACTTATTTGTAAATTAGGCCACAGAGAAAAATCCAAGCCACTGGTTGATTTCAGTCAAATCAATTCTGACACGTGACTGAGCCCCATGGGTGCTTAGTAACACTACTACATGAACTTGTCAAACTTTTAAAACAGTTTCTAGGCCTGCCTTCCGAGGTACCTCTGGGTGAATTTGAACCACCTTTCTGCTGATAGTTGAGAGCTTGCCTGTTTACACCACCCAGGGATTACAGGTTTCATGGTAGTAAAATAAATAAGAGACGTGGAAGGCAGCCTTGATTCTAGCGATTAGGGAAAAGATGTGACTCTGGAAAGAGTTCCAGTCTTGGAAACCCACAAGGGCAGTTCTGCCCTGTCCTATTCGGTGGCCATGAGTCTGACGCAATGGCAGTGAGTTTGAATTTTTTATAACGATGATTAAACTTGCATATTTATCATTTTAGCTGTGCTGTTAGACATTTCTTTACCCACTTTGATTACTTATCCCTCGACAGTATTGGTGGTAGCAGTGTGGGCATTCAAGAGGAGCATTCTAGCAGAAAGTCTGCCTATGATTTTTCCACTGTGGACATTGCCTCCCAGCTTTCATCAGGGGCTCAGTCTGCTGCATCTTCTCGGTCATCCAATTCTTCTAAAGGAAAGAGAGGAAAAAAGGAAAAGATAGAACGTAAGTGGGATTCTTCATGGAAACTTGTATCTCTTACCAGTGATTTTGAAATACGGCTGTAACATTATTTAATTCCATAAGAAGTTACGTGAGCTTATTTGTGATAACAATTAGTGTTCATATTTGTTTTTTGTTTAAAATAATACCTTTGGTTACATAACATACACTCTTTAAAATACAAAAGTGAGATTCTCATATTGATTAGAAATGAAGAATTATAAGCTATTCTACAAAAAATACAAATTGCTCTTCATCCTTGTGCCCAGACATAACCAATATCAACATTATGGGCACCTATTTTTCCAGTGTAAGCATACATCCAAGTGTGTAAGCACACACATACACATTAAAAAAAAATTTTAATGTAAATCCTATTGCTTTACATTCATTTATATAAATGTCTGTTTGTGTGTCATTGAAAAAAATACATTTTCTTATCTGTAAAAGAGAAATGAAGTTAGGTATTTTATATAATAATTTTGAAGTGAAATGGAAATTAATGGAGATAATGAATACATCCCAGTGAGCATAGTAGCTGGCCATTTTTTTTAATCTTTATGTTTCTTTATTAGAGCAAGACTTCTGACAAGTACAGTAATGTATTTGCTGTGCAGAGAAATTGCATACTAGCCATCTAAACAATACAATTTGCTTCTTGATGGAATAGTTCCATTTATAAGGTTTTATACAACAACAGCTTTGAATTTGCCCAGGATGACCGCTGGTTTGCTTTTGAAAGCGGCATTGACTTAGCTACTATGTTTTACAGCATTGAAAAAAGCTTAGGCTTTCGGTAGCTTCTCGAGATGCTGTATGCACAATGGCATTGAGGAGACTGGGCAGACTCCGTCAGTCTCACTCAGATCCACAGAGATGAGTCTCCTTTGATAGTTTTATCCTAAAGAGCTGGTACTAGAGACCAAAGGAAAAAAAGTATTCCTAACCTGAGTCTCTCACCACCACCTCGGACTTTCTGAGGACCGGCCCGTCTTCTGTGGCACACATTACAGTGCCACTTAAGACATGCCGGTGACTACCTGGCGTTAACTTGTCAGCAGAACAGCAGGTCGGATGGTGGTGGCAGGCATTATTCATTACTAACAGTAAATATTTTTGAGTGAAATACACTTCAGTCCCCTCAGTTTTACTCTATAGGCATAGACATAGATTGATTAGATAAAGGTCCTTACCATTTTTTGTTGTTAAAATGTTCATAGCAAAACATTAACTTATTCAACCATTTCTACAGGTAGCATTCGGTGACTTTGATCGCATCCTTCTAGTTGGGCAGCCGTTCTGAACTTCTTTTTCCTCCCTACTTAACATAAACTCACTGCCCATAAGGTTCCTGTTTATCTTTTGAGTTGTCATTAGCACTTCAATCTCTCATAGATAGTTCTCTAAAAAGCATAATGTGCAAGGCATTTTTTTTTACTATGTTTTGATTTTCAGGAGACTTCAGGGGGATTTTTTTGGTTTAAATCTTAAAAGATTAACTGTTTGAGGGCAGTAAGTTCAGGAGTTTATCCGATCCAGTCCCCATGGCTCTAGAAAGTATGATGTCTATAAGAATTTGAAATTCTGTTTTGTTTCCCCGCTTTTTGATCAGATTCTTTGATTAAACTGTTCAGTAATGGTAGCTGACGATGACTGACTCACTGCCATCAAGTCAATGCTGACTCATAGTGACCCACTGTGGGTTTCTGAGAATGTAATTTATGGGAGTAGAAACCCTAGTCTTTCTCCTGAGCTGCTGCTGTTGGTTTTGAACTGCTGACCATGCTAATTGCAGCCCAACACACAACCACTATTCCATCAGGGCTCCATGTCATCATAGCTAGGTACTATCTAGCTCAGGGTTTCCCAACGTGGGATACTGCCCTCTAGGGGGCACAGAAAAGCTCCAGTGGGGTTGCAAAAGCAGATCCCTGTATTTGATCCTGGATTATGGACTGTAGTACAAAAGTTTTTAAGTGCCAGGATGCCCCCTCATCCCTAGCCGCCCCCCCCTCCACCCCCCAGTAAGCATAGGAACCGATGCTTTAGCTCTTCTGGTTTTGTGGCAAATGAGGAAGTTGTTCTTGGAGACAGCCACACATTGCATTTCTTCCTTTTATCACAGCTCTCTTCCTCTGTTGCGCCAGGCAACATTTGTCAAGGTAAAGAGTCTTAAATTCAGGATGGCCTCTAGCGAGGGGATAATTTTGTTTCCAAAATGTTTTTTTCTCATTATAAAAATAAATCCTGATCATCGACTTTTTTAAAAGAAAGGATAGGGTAGGGGAATAGATTGTGTGTGGGGGGGGAACCCTATAACTGTATATAAAAATAAAAACTATAATGTCTCCACCCCCAGGCAGTCCTGGGGATTTGGGGCTTGGCTTGAGCACAGTGAATGGTGTGACCCTTTGCGGGGTATGCTGACACAGTAGGGTTTGCGGCGCCCCTTTAGGGTTTCCCATATGGGCGCCAATAAATTTCTTCCCTTTTGCTTAAAAATAAATAAATAAAAATAAAATTACAATATTAATTACAGTGTATTATAAAGTTTATTTACAGTTTTAAGAAATCATTATTAGGGGGCTCTTACAGCTCTTATGACATTCAGTACATCAATTGAATCAAGCATATCTGTACATATATTGCTATTACCAGTTTCTAAATGTTTACTTTCTATTTGAGCTCCTTTTTCCCTCCCTCCCACCCTACTGATCACTTGATAAATTATAAATTAGTGGTGGTGGTCCAGGGGGGGGTGTTATGGGTCAATCGATCTATGTGATCTGTCCTCCATTCCTTCCCCCTACCCTCCTAGTATCGCTAGTCCCATTTCTGTTCCTGTAGTGTTTATCTGATTATTTAGTTTTAATCAAAGATTAGTAGTCCTCCACCTAGAGGTAATGAAAGCTAATATTTTTATTAGGAATTCTTTCAATTTGTAGGCAGGTATAAACAGGAAATTTTACATACATGGAATCACATTTTATGTGTTGCTTTGTTCTGTTAATAAGTTATAGGTATCTTCCTTTGTCAGTAATTACCTACATAGCCTACTGAAATACATAAAAAACCCCAACTGACCAGCCCAAACAACTCATTGCCATCAACTTGATCCGAACTCATAGTGGCCCTACAGGGCAGGGTGAAACTGTGCCCGTGGGCCTCTGGCTGTAACCACAGGAGTGGAAAGCCTCATCTTTTTCCTGCAGAGCAGTTATAGGTTTTGACCTGCTGACTTTGTGGTGAGCAGCCCAGAAAGTAACCACTGCACACCAGGACTCCTTTTGTATTTTTGGTTTATTTTTTATAGTGTTACATTATTTGTATATTTATAGTATATTTAGTCAGTTTCCTATTATTTAGCATTTAATTAATCTTTATGCATTAATCTCCTTTTGGGGGGTAGGAGGAGTCAAGGAAATAGTGAAGCAAGAATATACCATTTAACTTTTTGATACATTTTGGCAAATAACCCTTTACAAAACTAGTGCTGGTTCATATTTCCCAGCAAACCGCTAACTCTCTTGCAGATTGAAAGTTTCTAGAAATGTTAGATTATGACTTTAGGGATTTTTTTAATTAGTTAATTTTTAAATTAAGAGATCATTTTATCGGGGGCTCTTACAACTCTTATTACAATCCATACATCAGTTGTATTAGGCATAGTTGTACATACGTTGCCATCCTTTTCTAGACATTTATTTTCTATTGAGTCTTTAGTATGAGCTCCTCTTTTTTTCCTCCCTCTCCCCCCACCCTCGTGCCCTCTTGATAGATGATAAATTATTATTATTTTCATATCTCACACTGGACGCTGTCTCCCTTCCCCCATGGTTTTTGTTGTTCTTTCCCGGGGTGGGGGGGGGCGGGTATGTGGTTATGTGTAGATCAATGCAATCAGTTCCCCCTTTCTCCCCTTCTCTCCCACCCTTCCCCCTACACTTCTGATATGGCCATTCCCATTCCTGTTCCTGAATTCCGTGTATCTTAAGCTCTTATCTCTTATCTCTACCTGTGTACATGCTCTGGTCTAGTCTGAAGTGAGAAGTAGCACTGGGGTCATGTTAGTGGGGAGTGAGGAAGTCTCAAGGAACTGTGTGTTTCATCAGTGCTTTACAGTGCCCTGGTTGACTCATCCCTTCCCCGTGACTGCCCTGTGAGGGGATGTTCCATTATCTACAGATGGGCTTTGGGCTCTGCTCCGACCCCTCTTATTCTCAACAATATGTTTTTGTTTGTTTGTTATGCGTCTTCCGATGCCTGTTACCCAGTCCCAATGATACCTCATGATCATACCGGCTGATGTGCTTCTTCTATGTGAGCTTGTTGCTTCTTTGCTGGATGGCTGCTTGTTTAACTTCAAGCCTTTAAAACCCCAGAGACTATATCTCTTAGTAGCTTGGCACCATCCACTTTCTTCACCACATTTGCTTGCTTTTGTCTTCAGCAATTGTGCTGGCAGGGTGAGCATCACAGAATGCCAGTTTGTTAGAACAAAGTGTGCTTGTATTATTGAGGGAGGGCGGTTATGAGCAGACCCAAAGTCTGTCCACTACCTCAGTGTATTGCTATATAAATATATGTACATAGGCCAATACCTCTATTTTTATGGATTAATGTATTTGCATATATACACACCTATGCTTATACACCTATCCATAGCTTTCCTTCCTAGATCCTTCCTGTTTCCTTTTACCTTCCTCCTGCCCCACCATCATGTTCTCTCTACTTTCATCTCTTAGTACTTCCTCTCAGCTAGATTGCTGCTGCTCCAACACTCCCAGGCTCTCTACATCCTCCTTGTTGTTGATCTTAATTCCCTAGTTGTTTCCCTGTCTATGCGATTGTTTGCTCACCACTTCCTTCCCCCACCTCCTTCTCCCCTCCAAGTCCCTCTGGGAGCTTGTTTCTTCAGGGATCATTTTGTCAGCACGTCCCCAAGTCGTCCTTTTCTTGTTGAATACTGGTTCACAGAGAGATCGACTGTTTCACTGGTGTTCGGGGGAAAAGAGCTTCCTGGTCCCATACATTTGGAAAATGCTTTTAAAGTAAAATTGTTTTTTTTCCTTATAATCAACACTTTAAAAATTAGTTTATTGAGATGAAATTAACATAACATACAATTTAATAGTTCAGTTATATTTAGTGCAATCATCACCACAATCAACTTTTTCTTCCTTCCTGTACCCATTGCTGTTGACTCCCTTTCCTCCAACCTCCCTTTCCACGCTCCCAGGTAACTATTAATCCAGGTGCTATCTTCATGGACCCACTCATCCTGACTTCCCTATACAGAGAAACATATAATCAGAATTTAAAAAAATACCAAGCAGTATTAACCAAATAAAAGAGAGGAAAACCTCAGTGAAAAAGAAAGCAGAAGCTATTTGATAAACAGAATAAATTCAGAATCAGTCCAAAGGGAGATCTAATGACAGGTGTTGCATTTCAGCCTAACGAGAACTGCTAAAATCCACCGTACGATGCTCTGTGTCTGATATGAAGGCTAGTCACACGCTTAGACTAGTCAGTGGGGATTCACTGGAGACAGTCCATGTGGTGGGAACCCCACAAATAGATCTTGGGCTTCCACTATCATCCACAGAGATCCAAAAACAGAGGTGTTTAGAATTTAGGTTCTGGTATCATACCCTCCTTGGATCTCACAGACTGGTATATGTCTTCCGTGTAGACTCCACGCTTTTAACATGCTGATATGCATTGTTTATTTTAGGATGGGCATGAGGCAATTGTATGAAGCATTTCCCATATTTATTTGGCCGTTGAATCCTTCCTTCAGCAAACAGGTTATGGAGGTAGAATTCGGTTGAACATAGTTTGTAGAATCCTGATCTTGCCCATCTCTTTTATTTAGCAGATGTTACGCTTTGTTATGTTATTGTATCACCTAAAGTCACCAACAAGTTATGAGCAGAGCTTGGCTTTTGTGGCCTGATTTCCCAAATTTAGTATTGTTCACACAAAGAAATAAGTCATACATAAAACTACATTTGTGCTACAATACCAAACACATTGCCATTGAGTTGATTCTGATTTATAGTAACCCTGTAGACAGGATAGAGCTGCCCCTGTGTTTCCAAGACTGTGACTCTTTTTTTTTTTTTAAAGACTATAACTCTGTACAGGAGTAGAAAGCTCTGTCTTTCTCCTAAGGAGCAGCTGGTGGTTTCCAACTGCTGATTGTATGGTTAGCAGCCCACCACGGAACCACTATGCCACCAGAGTTCCTCTACAATATATAGCACAACTTTAAAATACATAGTATTTTGTATCTGCCAGTTTCCCTGCTGTTTCTTACTGCCATTGAATCAATGGTTACTCATATGGACTGTGTAGGGCAGGGTAGAACTGCCCCTGGGGGTTTCCAAGGCTGTAACTCTTTACGGGAGTAGAAAGCCCTTACTTTTTCCCAAGGATGCCTCTCACATTACTTAAGAATTAAGTTTCCACAGCGTCTTCTTAAACTTAGTTTTTCCAAGTTCTAAAATCAATGTAACTTTTCAAAAACATTCTCCACTTGGTGGTGAAAGAGGTCTCTGTATGTTCTTTATGTAAATTACAGCCGACACTGCTTACCCAATGCCGTTGACAGTTTCTGTAGATTAAAGTGTGATTTATCTTTAAAACATATAAAGTTAATTTATCTTTAAAACATATAAATGTACTTTGATTTAGCAATCTTTTAATGGATGGCAAAATATTTTCCTTGTCTTGTATAGACCATTGTATTGTTTATACTATCTAGTTTGAAGTGCAGAAAAAATGAATTAATGAACAGGTTCTTATTTTAAAATCAAAGCATCTTTATTATAGAAATACAGAAATAGCTAGTATATTCTTCTCACCTAGGGATCATAAATAAGTTTTAGATTATAAAGGCATTGATGATTATTAGTAACTCCTTAGATTATTTCTGCATGCCCCCACCCCCAACTTTGATAGTGTACCCAATATTTTTTATCTAATTCATGGTGCCGATCTTTTAAGTGACTTCTTATGATGGATTGTCATAAATGAGGTGGAGTAACCATTCTGAGTCCAAGGAAATGCAACATTACTTTTTTCCTTTTATAGCAAGATTTTAAATGAAAAATTGCTCAGTGTAACACTGTGTTAGTCTGGGTAGACTAGAGAAATAAATTCACAAAACATGCATATGTGTATAAGAAAACGTTTTATATACAAGAGCAATTGGATATTGAGAAAACATTCCAGCCCAGTTCAGATCAAGTAAGTCCAATGTTAGCCCATATATCCGATACCAATCTGTAAATTCCTCTTCAGACTCACGAAACACATGCAATGACTCAGAATGCAGGAAGATCACAGGCCAGAGGGTGCAAAGTCTTGTGGATCCAGTGGCCGTGGAAGCATCTCTTCACTGGCAGGTGTCTATCTCTACACAGCTCCTTCAGCTCTAGGGCTTTAGCGTAGTAGCTCCATGTATCTTTTATGCAGGACTATCTCGCAGGGAGTGAGCATGAGTCCCGGCTCCAGCAAGCTGTTTTATCTTCTCAGTGCCTCCAAATGAGGTCATCAACCTGATTAACAGACTAAACGCCACCCCTTCACACTTAAGTCTGAAATTGACAACAGATTATGTAACTACCACAATCACTATCAATACAGCATAACGACACAAGTTTTTTCCACTTCTATATAAAAAAAAATTTTAGCTAACATTAAAATGTACATGCAATTCAGTATGTTTTCTTTTAAAAAAATATACCAATAAACACTTTCTCTTGCTGCTGTTTAAACTTACTGTTAAACACTACATTAGACATTGAATCATGAAGCCTGATTTCTGCTGTTTGTGCTATTGACTGTACTTCCTCGGGGAAGTTATTTAGCTTCATAGACCCTAGTTATCTCATCAGTAAGTTGGGGATTTAATATACATTTCACAAGGTGTTTCAGAGCAATAAGATGATATGTATGGAGAACATATTGTGTGTGTATGAGAGAGAGAGAGAGAGAGAGAGAAATTGGGTGAAGGTTTACAGAGCAGATCATTAGTTTTACATTCAATAATTTATGCACATTTTGTTTTTCTCATTCACTGTAATCCTCTCAAGGTAACATCATTTACTCCATTTTCTCCCTGTTTCCTGTTCTTTTTTTCTTATAGAAAAGATTTTTAAGTTCAAAGTGCTTACTTAAATGTTATTATTATGTATATACTTTAGGTAACTCTTCTGTTGGAAATGTAAACTGAAACTTTTAAATTATGAAAGCTATGGATTGAGTATAATGGATAATTTTGTTAACTTGAGTATTTTTGAGACAATCCTATAAGTAAAATTATACTGAGTCAGAATATGAAGATTTTTCTGGATATAGCTACATTATTCTTGCTTTAGAGTTTTTTATAAGGATTGTGTAATGCTGTTGGCAGCTTTTGAGTATACCAGTTTTTCCAGCTTTGAATTTTATCTTTAAAAAACTTTTGGTTAGGTTTTTTTTTTTAAGTAGGAGTAGAGTAGTTCTTCATTCTTGCTTAATCTACTTGTCTTTTATTAAAGAATGATTTATTTTTAATACTCATTTATGGATATTAGTGGAGGAAACCCCATTGTCCTTAAATGGAAACAGAAGGGTGAATTGTTTTCTTTTAGATAAGAAAAAAGTATATTAATACTGGGCAATTTTAAAATACTGTATTTTCATTTATATTTTTTATTATTTTATTGGAGTCTGTCTCTCCATAGCTTTTTATATTGGGAATCAGCTGCTTAAGAAATTTATCTTACAGGGTTGGATTCCCTTCCTGGAAATAATAAAAACTCTCTTCTTGATGAGGAAAAAGTACAGTCTGGCTCAGAACACGGGTCCCATCAAGGAAAGAAATCTGGGACCAGCAGCAAACATTCTGCTCAAGACTCTGAGCAGACTCTTGACACTGATAGCATATTAGAGGATCTTTCTGGACATTCTGTGAGGTAATGTATAGTTATACTGTAAATCACAGTAATTACCTTTATAGTAATGTTGATATTCATGAAATGCATTTGGTAACTTTCAGCTTCATACTAACTTTATTTTTACTATTTATAAACTACTGTAAAACTCTTTCTGCACAGACTTTGTAGCCCTGTTTATAACTCTAGTCTCCTTGTTGGTACTAACAATGTGCTTGGCTACTAAACAAAAAGTTGGAAGTTGGAGTTCAGCAAAAAGTCCCTGGGAAGAAAGACCTGGCGGTCCGCTTCTGAAGAGTCAGCTGTTGCCACCCTGTGGAAGACAGTTCTGTTGTGACGCACAGAAGTTGCCATGGGTAACTTTGATCACAACTGTTTGGGGTCTTTGTTTAATCTCTATTCTAGAATACGGTTATCTATCACCACTTCTTCAGGAACTCCCTACCTCTAGCACAGCTACCTCTCCTGAATACAATTGCCAGGTGTTTTTTTTTCCTTGGCTAATCTGGTCTCCTCCTCGCAGTGCTTTAGATGAGATTTTAGGACCCCACTCACTACTCACCAAAGTAGGATTTAATCTTTGTGGGACTATGTTAGACTGAATGACCTTGGTCTTGAGCTCCCATGCCCAGCAACTCAATTGCCCCTCTGTTCTCCACCACAGTCATGGATTGGCAGCAAAAGAAAATACGTATATACAAATGTTCTCTGTCAAGTCTATATGTGTTTACAGGTATACTTCCCCTTTCTCCCTTACCCATTCAGTCTGCATGTCTATCCAAGAAGCAATGGGCACATGCTGAGTATTTAGTGATACAGAGTATGAACATAATTTTCTGCTTTGAATCTTTTGAGCTAAGCCGGGTACCACAAAACTAGTTGTTTTTGTTTTATCATTTCTAAGTTTTTAATAGAAAGTGTCTGGATGATGTAAATGGTATTTTACATGCTGATCTGTTAGCCAAAAGGTTGGAAGATCGAGTCCCTTCAGAGGTAGAAGAAAGTCCTGGTAATCTACATGCGAAAATATCAACCACTGAAAGCCCGGTGAAGCACAGTTCTACCCTGGCACACATGAGGGAGCCAAGAGTTATGTGCACTCAGTGGCAACTGGCTATTACTGATTAGGTTTTTAGTACAAACTTTGACATTTTATTCTCTTTCAGAGTCACATTTTAAGAAACTTTGATTAGATCGTTTTGACCCTGGTTTTCCATATGGCTGTAATTTATTCTGTGAGGTTCAATTATTTTAATAGATTTGCCCTAGACACTCCAGTGATATACGTACATTGGAGAGGAAAGGGTTAAGCATTAATCTGATGCAGAGACCACCTTTCTGTCTTACTAGCGGAGGCTTAGAGTAGAATTCAGGCACTCAGCAGCTAGCTATGTTGAGTGAAAAACTACCTGAATCACAGCTTTGAAAAGTTAATGCGCAAGACAGTCGTGTCGTGCATGTTGTTCTTAGAAATCAGCGGGTCTCAACTTGTGGGTCGCCACCCCTTTAGGGGTTGACCGACCCTTTCACAGGGGTCACCCAATTCATAACAGTAGCAAAATTATTATGAAGTAGGAATGAAAATAATGTTATGGTTGGGGGTCACCACAACATGAGGAACTGTATTAAAGGGTCGCGGCATCAGGAAAGTTGAGAACCACTGTTATAAATTGTTCGCTGTGTTCTTGAGGGGAGTTTTCTTTTTTCTAGTGTCTCACCAGAAAAGGGAAGATCTCAGAAAACCCCGACTTCTCCTCTGTCTCCAAGTTCCCAGAAGTTGTTGCAGTTTGACCTTCCGGGCACTTCACTGGAAAAGACCACGTCCTCAGTGATAGTGCCTCCAAGTCCAGCAGCATTGAGCCCTAGCGGAGCTTTCCCCGAGGCCAACCCGACTGCCAGCAGGCCAGCTGCAGAGATGGCTTCAGCACCCGGCAAGTTGACCACGCAGTTCTTAAATCAGATGCGAATGTCTGCCTGGAAACCCCATTTCCTTCAGTAAAACCATAGGGAGGAGTTTCCAATGGATATGATTACTTTGTGAAGTCTGAGACAAAAACCAAGCAGGAAACGAGTCCTGGTGAAAGCACGAGAGATTCAGAATGGTGATCCCTGCCACGTCATTGCTGGCCTCGGATTTGTAGAACTACATCTGAAGAAATAGATATGTGTGTGTGTATCATCCAAAGTGTGGGTTACGGTTAGGGACACCTGCTAAGCATCTTCAAAAAGTTTGTGGAAAAATGGAATTAAAAGATCATGGAATTTCCCACAAATTTTTTGAAACCCCCTCAAGTATCTATCTCTGGGTGTGTATGTATAAAGACACACATACATAAATATGGATAAATACAAAAGCAATATCTTCCTTTCCTTTATGTGGTTTGTGACTGTTAACATGAAGTGCAAATTTTAGGAACTGTTAATAGAAATGGAGATGCACTTTTTCATTTGGCGGTTGTTCCGCCCTCCAGGTCCGAAGCGCTTTTCCCCTGCTGTCCTCCAGCATCGGTTGGCAGCAGAGCTTAGTTATTTGAGTGCTATTGAGGAGTCCATGCGCCAGCTGTCAGATGTAGAAAGAGTTCGAGGTATTTCCTTTGCTCAGCAGGAGAGTGTGTCTCTGGCTCAGATCATAAAGGTATTTATGGAACTTTCTTTCTATTTAACTTTTAGCCTGTGTTTTTTATTTTGCTTTGTTTTCCTGTCTTGTCTTTGCTCTACGAAAGAACTTTAATGATAAGCAAAAGGATCCATCTTTGGGTCTCCAGATTTGAGCGGGGCATTATATGACTTAATATCCAACTTTAGCACCTCTAGAGAATGTAAACCAGACTACTTAGCACTATTCAGAGTGACAAAAATATATAAACATGCAGCTAATAGATTTATAGAAAGATTCCAGGTGGAAAAAAGAAAGATGAGAGAGAGAGAGACCATTTTTGAAGGGTAGGGGCAGTATCTGTATGAAATTGCCCCTCCAGAGACACAGTGAAGGAGTCATAAAATGGTGAGTTATGAAGTATTACTTTTATTTGTACATATAGGACATGTTCCAAAGAGGCTAACTTGTTTTGGATGTCAGCTCACAGTACTGAATGCTGTGGAAGTGTTTTGTGTTCCTACGTGATTTGAGACACAGTTGGTGGACAGGGAATGTTTTGATAAACGTTAAGTGGTTGAGGAATATCCCATCTTTCCTTTAAGGCCTTAATCTGTTGCTTTAAATGATGTGCATTAGGAAAATAACATTGCATTTATTCTAGTTTCTGTGTTAAAATTCTTAAAAGTAACACGCCATTAACATTCCTTTATTTTGAAGGCCCAGCAGCAGCGCCATGATCGAGACCTGGCCGTTTTGAAACTGAAAGCTGAACAGGAGGCTCTGGAAAGCAAGAGACATTTAGAAGAAACCCGAAACAAAGCAGCCCAGGTCGCATATTTTGTATCATTTACCGATTTTCTCAACACTCCTATCTTTCATATAACTTTAATATTCTTTAATTATACAGGGTTGAAATTTAAAAGCTGTAAATAATAGTAGTGCTTTATACTCAGTGTGATAACTTCATACCATTTGATTCTTGTATCAACCCTGTGAAATTGGTAGGCATGAATTGTTACTATTAGTCCCAATTTAGGGAATTGGAAACTGAGGTACTTAATTACTTATCCATGGACACATCAACTAGTAAATAGTGAGCTTAGAATCAAAGCATGCATCCAGATATTAGTCACATATTTGCTAACAAGGCATTTGATCCATGAGACATTTATGTAAATTAAAAGCTATTTTGGGACAGGAGAGCTGAAGTCTAAGTTCTTTTTTCATCACTTATTTACAGGTTCATGCAGAATCGTTGAAGCATGTAGTTAAATCACAGCGGGAAGTAACTGAGGTCCTGCAAGAAGCAACATGTAAAATAGCAGCTCAGCAAACAGAGACTGCTCGCCTCACCACAGATGCAGCTCGCCAAATCTGTGAGGTAGGGCCACTGGGACCCTTTTGTTTTCATTCTTTTCAGTCAGTTTGACTAGCTATGCTCTTGGTAGAAATGAGTTTCTAACATCTAACAAGTGTATATTTTTAGCCAGTTGTTCACTGTAGGGAGCCATGATCTGTTGAGATGAGACATCATTGATTGGAGTGTGTGCACATGGTAATGATACAGAGGCAGAAAAAAGATGGGAAACCACCAAATTTACATATAATTTCCAAACAATAACATGCATCAGTTTTAAGTATATAGTTCGATGAGTTTTGATAAATATATGTACAAGGGGGTTAGAAGTTTATGAAAAAATTTAAAAACAGTGTTATTTTTCTTTGAACTTTTTGAAGTCCCTTCAGATCTGTAAACACCACCCTAATCAAGAAATAGAACATTTCCATGATCTCAGAAAGCTTTTGTTGTCTGTTTCAGTCCCCAGCTTTGGCTCTGGGAGCCACTGATCTGCTTTGTTTAAAGATGTATATTTTTACCCAGAAGGTTGAAGTGTCTTTTCTTTTACTGTACCAAGAATACAGCCAGAAATAGTTTTACTGATTTTCTATGTAGAATATCATAATCTTATAGTTTGAATTTATTTTAGCAGTTACATACTTGTTTGTTTGTTTTTTTAAATAAAAGTTAGGACTATTTGTGTCATGATTCAGTTACTTAACATCTGTGTTAGACACTATAGATGTAAAGATAAGTATAAAATCTCTTTTTAATAAAATTTTCATCAACGTAGTAGGCACCATTGATAAAGATACTGAAAACAAAGCTTCAGTAGAAGGACTATCTTTAGACAATAAATAAATACCGTGTGTGTGTGTGTGTGTGTGTGTGTGTGTGTGTGTGTGTGTGTTTAGACAATGAATAAATACCTAATTTGTGTGTGTGTGGTGTATGATTTGCAATAGTGGTCAAGGGAGTGTATGTTATATTGTTGCTCAGAAAAGACTTAAAAGGAAGTAGTAATTGAATTGACCTGAAAGAAGAGTTAATTTGGTTTACTATGACCTATATCACTTAAAAGTTTCCTGAATAATTTAGGTAAAGTATTATTGTAGGTGAGTGAAACCTTAAGAAGTCGTATACTCTTAACTTTTCACTTTTGTAACCTGAAGTTGTTGAGAACTAAAAAGGATAAATGACTTGCCTACAGTATCTCCTCAGTTAGCAGCACAGTTTGCTAGCCATCGGTCCAGCAGTCTTTTTGAGGTGTTCCCTCTCAGTTCTCCCATGACATTATCTTTCTCCGTCCATCGGTCCAGCAGTCTTTTTGAGGTGTTCCCTCTCAGTTCTCCCATGACATTATCTTTCTCCGTCTTCCTTTCCGTTGTGTGTATGTTTCTACGTAGATGGCAGAGTTGGCTCGAACTCACATCTCGGACGCTGTCACTGCTTCCGGAGCTCCACTAGCAACACCGTATGACCACCAACGGCAGCACCCTCCAGACTTCATGAAACAGCTGAGGACCAGAGCGGAAATAGATAGGTTAACAATCATAGTCATTCCAAAAGTCTGTAAAGATTATTTGCTGTTCTGGATACTGAGAATATAGTTAGGAACTTGGAACCTATTGTGAAGATAAGATATTAATAAAATCTTACTTAAGTTATTGAACACTTATAAACTGAGATAAGAAAATAACATCTGTGAGATATATAACAGAAAAGTTTGAGTAGCCAGAAGGTGTAGGAAGATCAGAGAGGTCTTTCTGGGGAAAGTAAAGCTGAGAGTGAGTCCTAATGGGTAAGAAGAACTAGTGATATGAAGGAGGTAAGGAGCAGACAGGTCAATACAGTCAAAGACCCGAGTACAGAGGGCCATGCGTATTTAAAGAACATGAAAACCAACGTGGCTGGAGGCAGAGAGCAAATAGCAGAATGAGATGAGGTATTTCAGGGATGGTAGAATATTGCAGACCATAAGGATTTGGGAGGGTATTCTGAGAGCAATGAGAAGTCATTAAAGATTTTTTAGACACGTTGGGTGACATGATTCTGTTTGTGTCTTATTTTTTAAACGCTTGTGTAATATTTTTTAAATCACATTTTGGATGTTTTATATGGACTGGGTTGGCAGGAAACCGGACTGGAAGCCAAGACACTGATAGGCAAGCCATTGCAGCAGTCTAAGCAGGAGATAAATGAGAGCTTGGACTAGGAAGGAAGCAGTGTTGATAGTGAAGTAGAGGAATTTGAAAGCGGTTTAGGGAGTACAATAAGATCTCAGGACTAATTGAGATTCAGTGGATGGCAGATGGCAGTAAGCAGACTGACTTACAGGCATTTACTTGTGCTGGTGTGTAGATGATGTTATCTTTTTATGGAGATAGGAAAGCAGAAGAAGACGGGGCTTAGGGCAAAGTATTTTGCTGTTGAGCACAAAGGAGAGGTGTAGACTGATTCGTGAATTTGGGGAATACCGTATATACTCGTGTATAAGCTGAGTTTTTCAGCACATTTTTAAATGCCGTTTTTGTGGTAAAATTAGGGGCTTCGGCTGATACTCAGGTTGGCTTATACTCGAGTATATGCGGTATTATTACATGGGGTCACCTTGAGTTGGAACTGGCTTGGCTGCAGCGAACAATAACAAATATTTGGATGGAAGTTAAAACCCTGGATCTATGGAGAGTGAGAGAAAAGAAGAGAACCCGTATCATATAAATATCTTTAAAAACTAAAAGTCATTCATGAAATTACTACTAACCTAATAAAATTTAAAGCAAATAGAGTTACATAACATTAAATATTTTAGGTTAGCCTGTGTACTTTTGAAATGCTGATTAAACTGTTCTGTGATATTAGGAAAGTTTAGAATACAGTGTTGCCTAATCAGAATTTTACACTGATGCTTATGTGCATTGATACTTTGCCAAGTTGGTCTGTTTTGAAAAAAATACATTCTACTTCTAAAATGTTAGGACATAAACTTAGCAATATAAACAGTTTAGTTGAATCTTATACGATATTCTAAATAAACTCTTTATAATAGAATTATTTTTTAAATTCCAAAATATGAAACAGAAAACCTTGTATAATTCACAAGTAAACCAGAAATAAAACATTTCTTTGATTCTTTTCTTTACCGCCCCCCTTTTGTAAAACTTGTATTGTGAAGTGGGTGAAGGTTTACAGAGCAAATCTTTAGTTTTACGTTCAACAATTCATGCATACCGTGTTTCTCTTCCCTTTGCTCTTTTTTTACTTGAGCTTTTCATAGCATGTAAGTGACTTGCAGGCATAGAAGAGAGATAAATTGGTTTTTAAAACTATAAACACTAAATAAATAAAAGGAATTAATAGGATACTTTATAACTAATTCAAACTGTTGGATTTATAGTACACAACAATTTTTGTTAAATTGTTATTATGTCCTCTACTTATAATAAGTACAGTATAATAACATTAGTAAATTTAGAGATAGAAAAAAAGTTTTCACCTAAACCCAGCAATTTTCATTTCAAGTCTTTGTTCATGTTCATTGGCACTTGTGGTGATTTTGTGTTTATTTCCCTTAATAAAGCAGAAAGTGCTTCTTAATGTTTCTATTGAACATTCTTTTAAAATCTTTCTCTTGTTAGCGACTCGGAATGTTTAATCAACTTGTATTTTCTTTGCAGGAAAAGTGAATCTGTTTCATTGTCTCAGAGTAAAGAGGGGACCGTGTACTCAAAGCAGTCGAAGTATTCTTCATATGATAGTTATTCTGAGTCTTCAAGATACAAGGCTTTCCATCGAAGGTGAAAACAGTAGTTTGATTCTTTTATCAGATTGTTTGGTAAATTCTCTTAAATGGCTTACATTTTGCTTTTCTTTGATCATTTAACCTCCTTCATATGAAGTCAAAAGAGTAATATCTGATCTTTAAAGTGTACTGACGTCCCTCTTTAAATTTCCCCCATTAATTATAAAATAATTGGTTTCTCAAGAGTATACTTTGTACAAGTACACTATAAATTGTCTTTTCATTTGTTTAATCTTCATAGATTTCTTTCAGAGTAGATAGTGGTGCCCTCATTCATTAGATAAAAGAACCCAGGCCCACAGAGATATTAAGAAGCTCACCCACAGTGACATAGATGATCTTGCACCCAGGAATTAAACTCTAGAATTTCTGACTCTGAGCCAGAGTTTATTGCACATTGCCTTGCTGATATCTGTATGCCTTGATATTGCTGCATATACTAATCTCTGTCACTAAAAAATAAGATTGAATACTTTGTCAGTGGTACCTGACACAGCATTAGTTGGTATATACCGTACATACTCGAGTATAAGCCGAATGGAATATCAGCTAAGGCACCTAATTTTACCACAAGAACTGCATTAAAAAAATGTGCTGAAAACCTCGGCTTATACACGAGTATATATGGTATATATAGTTTTTCATTATATTCTCTTCTGGGATTAGATCTTCAAGACAACGTTACAGCCTTTCAGGTTGGATACCTACACATCAAAAGTGTAATAAAGCCTCAATTTAAAAAATTGAGACTATAAAAAATGTAGACATTAATGTGGGTTCTGCACTGACAGTTACGGAGAACCTACTATGTACCTGACACTCTGCTTGATGTTTGGCGTGTTATTTAATTCTCACAAGAACACGATGAAGATAGGTGGTGAGGGTCCATATGACAAGTGAGAAAGTACAGATCAGTAAGATTAAATGACTTACCTTAACTGACACTGCTTCATTTGAGCTATCATCTAGATTACCGCAGACAACTAGTTAGTTTCCTTGACCTCTAATCTTTCCCCCAGTTTATTCATTAGCCTCATGGTACTAGAGTGGCTTTTTAAATTACAGCCAATTTGGTTATTCACTTGTTTGAAACCATCATGATCCCTCAAAACATTCAAGGCAAATTCTAAAGCATTTAGCCTAGCATGCACTTAGCAGAGAGACTTTACATTGAGGTACTAACCGCAAAGCTGTTTACTCACACCAGTCTATCCCAGGGAGGGCGATAAGACTAGGTGCTCCTTTACATAGAATGTTTATAGTTCGGCTTTTGACTTCTCTCCATCTCTCAGAATTTGCCCCTCTTAGCATACTCATCTAACTTTTCACTCCACCAACTGTTTATTAACAGTCGTCTACTAGAACCATGCTTCCAGTCTCCTGTGCCATTCCATATGATGTATCTTCTTTCTAGACCCTCTTCTCTTCAGTTCAGTAACTTTTACTTGCCCTTAAAGACCTGAATCCTGCTTCTTGTCTGATTGGGCCTACCTTGGTTCTCCGTGTCACTCTGAACCTAACAACTACAGCCGTTACCACCTCTGAAGTCCTTATTCCCTGACGTATTCCTGATGGACTAGACCAGAAACTCTGTGAGGGAGGAGTCATGTCTTATTTTGTGTGTATGACTTGAGATATAATTCACGCACCATTAAGTTCCCCCCCTTTCTAAAGTGTACAATTCAATAGTTTTTAATACACAAAGGAGCTTCAAAAAACTCATGGGAAAACAGAATTAGTCACAAAGAATGATCACCACTCTAATTCCAGAACACTTTCATCTGTCCCAAAAGGAGCCCAATACACATTAGCAGTCACTCTCTCTTCTCATTCCAACTGTCAGCCCCTGGCAATCACTGATCTGCTGTTTCTATTCTCTATGAACTTACCTATTTTCGAATTTTGTTGTAATGGAATTGTAAAATTTGTGGTCTTTTATGACTGACTTTGACTTGGGAACTGTTTTCAGCATTCATCCATTTTGTAGCATCTATCACTAGTTAATATATTTCAGTGGTTGAATAATATGCCACTGTATATAATATTTTATTTTTCCATACATCAGCTGTGTGTTTTAATATTTTGGCTACTTTGAATGCTGTCAACCTTCGTGCACAAGGTTTCGCACGGCATGTTTTCATTTCCCGTTGATATTTACCTAGAAATATGCCATGTGCTAACTCACCTTTTGACTTTTGAGGAACTGCCAAAACGTTCCCCAAAGTGACTACCTCAGTTTGCATTCCCACCAGCAGTGGGGGAGGGTTCCAGTTTCTCTGCCTACTCGCAGCACTTGTCATTGCAGGTCTTTTGTAGCATAGGCATTTTATTGAAGACGGGTCTTGCTTGTGTCCCGGTAAAATGTGGCAACAGTCTATGTCTGTTGACTGGATGATTACCACAAACCTTACCAAGCTGACAAGTCAACTCCAGCTGCCAGTCACCCTTTAGGACAGGGTAGAACTGCTGCTGTTAATTTGCGAGATTATAACTCTTTTTGGGAAAAAAAAAGAAAGCCTTATCTTTCTCCCTCTGAGAAGTGGGTGGGTTTGAACTACTTACTGACCTTGTGGTTAGCAATCCAACTTGTAACTCACAACGCCACCAGGGCTCCTCCGTTGAATGACTGGCATAAAATGATTCAGCCTCATGCCCTTCTTCAATGCCTTTGCGGCTTACTGTACCCTATATTTTACCTCATAGCTTTATCAGAAAATGTCCTTTGAAAAAAGAAAGAAAATTGTTATTTCAAAAACATCTATTAAACCAAACAAATTTAAGAACACTGGTTATAGAGGTGACAAGAGAACTGAAGTAAAAAATGAATAGAATCATGGGATTTAACGAAAGAGCTCTCTTTTGACATAATTTTAGGCAAGTAGGAAATTACAAGATTAATATAAAATCTCCAAATGTCTTTCACTCAGATTGTCCTAATGTTAGCATTTTACTACATTTACATTAGCAAATGACAGAGGTTAACATCTGATGTTGTAAGAGAAATAAATTATTGATTGGATTTGATAATTAGACGGTTAGGTAGAGTTTAGCAAGAAGAGTTACAGTAGAATAGTTTGAAGTGGAAATAGATTGTGATTATTTGTGAAATTAATGAAAAATAAGGAAATGGAAATGGAGTAAAAGCTCCCTTTCTCAGACACTTGACTAAAAAAATTGTACTTTTAATTTATTGTTGTGAATATATACATCAGAACATAAACAAATTAAGTTTTTCCATATACAGTTCGAGGATATTGGTTACACTGTTAAGTTGTACAACGGGTCTCACTCTCCCTTTCCACATTGTACCTCCATGAACATACACTTACTGCTCTGTAAGTTTCATATCTAATCTTTATCTAATTGCTGTGGTCAATGTGACCCCATAGAGAGACTATCTAACCCTTCATGGCATCTGGGGCATGTAGGGCCCAACTACATTTTCTGCTTCTGTGATTTTTAGAAAGCTGTTGTCCCACTTTTAGTGCATCTTGCCCTTTGGTAGGAGCTTGCCAACGATGAGGATCTAAAGAAAGAAGTCTCATCCTACCATCTCCAGACCAGAAACCCCTCAGGATGTCTGTGTCCTACTCATTATATCAAAATTCATATTATTTTTAACAAAACTTTTTCATTTCACTCAAACCCCTTTCCTTAGTGGAAACATGGTTTCAATGAAAGGTTGATAGGGTTAAAAGAGCACAATGCTCCTAGTTAAGCTCAACTACTGTTTGATTTTAAGAAGACTTCGGGGATGTTTTTGGCTTAAGGTTAAAGATTACCAGTATTTTGGGGGGTTGCCTTTTAAATGATAGTAAAAAGTGAGTGATGGCCTGAGAATTGTGCATATTCCTTTTGACCTATTTAAAAGTGAAGCATCCCTCTTATTTTTTCAGAAAGTTTCTTGTCAGACATATTTATGTTTTACTTTTTATATTAACATCTTCACATCGTGATTATAAGGCACGTTCCTTGACTAAAGAATTTGACATTGTGGTCCATATGTTGTTAATTCTTTGTCTGTTTGCTTTCACGCCCATGTGCAGAAGTAGTAGTGGTAGCAGCCATCAAGAAAGTCCTCTAGTCCCACCTTCTAAGGAAAACGAGAAGAAAGTGCTTGATGGTGAAAAGAGTTCTATTGAGGAACACATCCAGACAGCTGCCGATGACTCGCTGCGGAGTGATAGCATTCCATCTCTGCCTGAGGAGAAAGGTAACTTTTCCCTGTACATTTCCTTTGGGAGGCTTCCAAGCCCTTAGCAATACTGGTAACTGAGCCAGTTAATACAATTGATTAGAGTAGGATGACAATAAGGAGAGTTACTTAACTAGTTAATACAGTTAGAACATAATGATGGTCCAAGATTATATGTCTGAGGTGCAGAGACAAATGTATCCAGGTAAAACGATTTCAAGGCCATATACTGTGCTAGTAATTATGCCAAATATCATAAAGTTACACAGATTATAGAAAGAAATGCTGCAGAAAATCATGATGGCCTTGGGGTTTGGTTACCGCATTGAAGCCATGAACTATGAAAGAAGAAAAGTTGTTAAGGTGTACTTTATTAAAATTGAAAAAATACCACACTTTGGGGTTTAGGTGACTTAGAAGATAAGCAAATTTCATTCCATTCTTATTTGCTGTGAATTTATGTTGGTGTATTGCCCCATAAAGGGTCTAAAAGAGATACTGTTGGAGACCCATGGAAGGCTGTTATAATAATAATTTTATTTTTCTGTATTTTTTTAGATTCAACTTCTATTGCAACAGAATATTCCCTGAAATTTGATGAATCCATGACAGAAGATGAAATAGAAGAAAAATCATTTAGGTCATTACTACCTTCCGAGAGTCATCGCAGATTTAATATGGAAAAGAAAAGAGGCCACCATGAGGACTCTGATGAAGAAGCTTCCCCAGAGAAGACTACACTGACCTCGGCCAAGGTGTCTTTTAGTTTACCGGAAGTTCTTCATAAAGGGTTTTGAGTGGGCTCTCTTAAAGGGATGATGCTACATATGAGGGGGATTCAAAAAGGTCATGGAAAAACGGAATTAAAAGATAATGGACTTTTCCCATTGAGCCTCTTGCAGCTCTCATATTTTATTTGTACTGAGTTGTCAGCTACCAGAATGATTTTCCTAAAGTAGCACTTCCACGTAGTATAAAAGGACTTCAACAAATTTGTGGGAAAATTCCACTATCTTTTAATTCCATTTTTCCACAAACTTTTTGAAGCCCCCTCCTATTTAGCTACAAAATTTGACTTTCTTTTCCTTACAAAAGGCAATCTAAACTTACTCTTTGAAATAATAAATCAAAAGCATTTTTGGATCTAACCCAATGTTATCTCCTTAACTTTTTACTTGCTGCATTCTCATAAGCATTGGACTGCTAACCACAAGGTCAGTGGTTCAAAACCACCAGCCGCTCTGTAGAAGAATGATGAGACTCTCTGTTTCCATAAACATTTGCAGTCATGAAACCCCTATATAGGATTACTGAGTCAGAATCCACTTAGTTTGCTGTGGGTTGTTTTTTTGTTTGTTTTTCCCTCTAAAAGGGACCTTCAGAAAGGGTATGGGAAAATTCCCTGATCTTTAAATTTTGTTTTTCCATGAACTATTTGAAGTCAGCTCTCATAACTAGCACTTTATTCCACTTAAAAAATTACATTTCTCAGAAGCTTTAGGAAGCAAAGGTATAGATAAGGATATTAAGATAGATGTGTATTTATATAAATACATTAATCCATAAAAATAGAGGTATTGGGCTATGTACATATATTTATAAGGCAATACACTGAGGTTGCAGACAGGCCTTGCGCTCAGCTCATACCTTCCCTCAATACATGAACACTTTGTTCTAACAAATTGGTATTCTGTGATGTTCATTCCCCTCCTGCCCCCCCCAACATCATCACTGAAAACCAAATGTGTGCATAAACAGATGTGGTGAAGACAAAGGATGGTGCCCGGCTACTAAAAGATACAATGTCTGGGGTCTTAAAGGCTTGAAGTTAAACTAGCAGCCATCCAACAGTGAAACAGCAAACCCACATGGAAGAAGCACACCAGCTGGTGTGATTGTGAGGTGTCATTGAGACCAGGCAACAGGCATCAGAAGATTCACAGCAAACAGTAAACAAACAAAAATGCATTGGTGAGAATGGAGGGGGGTCAGAGCAGAGACCCAAAGCCCATCTG